GACACATTCCTTTCAATCTTTTACCCAGATTTGAGCAGAGATGCAGAGGAGCATATTTAGTTTCTTTAAAAAAAGAACCACCAGTCAGGAGGATACAGACCGCTCAAGAGGTATGCTTAGATATGCAGAAAAATATACATTTTTTTTTTTACATAGAATTAACAGTAGTGTAAAGTATTTAAGTAAAAATACTTGAAAGTACAACTTAAGTCATTTTTTTGGGGTATCTGTACTTTACTATTTCTATTTTTGACTACTTTTACTTCACTACATGCCTAAAGAAAATGATGTACTTTTTACTCCATACATTTTCCCTAACACCCATAAAGTACTCGTTACAAATCATCAATAATCAAGAGAACATCCCTGGTCACCCCTACTGCCTCTGATCTGCCATACTCACGAAACACAAATGCTTAGTTTGTAAATTATGTCTGAGTGTTTGAGTGTGCCCCTGGCTATCCATAAATTACAATTATATAAATGATTCATACTTTTACTTTTGATACTTAAGTATATTTGAGCAATTACATTTACTTTTGATACTTAAGTATATTTAAATCCAGATACTTTTAGACTTTTACTCAAGTAGTATTTTACTGGGTGACTTTCACTTTTAATTGAGTCGTTTTCTATTAAGGTATCTTTACTTTTACTCAAGTATGACAATTGGGTACTTTTTCCTCCACTGAGAATGAAGCATAATGATTATGGATCTAGGTTGCAGGAAAAAGCTGTTTCAGGTGTTTGAAAAATGCCAAATGATCCTACTTCCGGACCACCCCCCAGCTATCCTCAAGTATTTTTGGGGTGCATGACGCCCCTGACCTCATCCTCATGTACCCCATACAGGTATGGGGGGGTCCTATAACTCCTAATTTATCATCCCTAGCGTTTGGCAGCCACGGTGGTCCTCTAATGAGGAGGGTAACAGATCTGTGAAATCAGAGCTTCAGTTTGATATTCCTTGGGGTTTACACCGGTTAAATATAACCCAGATCGGTCAGCTAAGCAGAAAATAGTTAGCATCTGAGGCTGTGGTAGCTGGATACTTGTGAAGTGGGACAGGGTTGGCCAGTATGAGTATCAGTGACCTGGAATTCAGGTCAACACCACTGACTGCACTCCTGTGACCTGGAATTCAGGTCAACACCACTGACTGCACTCCTGTGACCTGACATAGGGCTGTGTTGAGGATTACCTAAAATTAAACATCAAGAATTACATCAACAGCTATTAAAGGACCCCTGGGTGTTTTTGTTCCCTTTTTTTAAATGTCTGTATTCATATCAAATCAAATGTTATTTGTCACATGCGCCAAATACAACAGGTGTAGACCTTACTGTGAAATGCTTACTTACAAGCCCTTAACCAACAATGTTGTTTTAAGAAAATAGAGTTAAGAAAATATTTACTAAATAAACTTAAAGTAAAAAATGACAAAAAATGTAAAGTAACACAATAAAATAACAATAATGAGGCTACCGGTACCGAGGGGGTACCGGTACCGAGTCAATGTGCGGGGGTACAGGTTAGTCGAGGTAATTTGTACATGTAGGTAGGGGTAAAGTGACTATGCATAGATAATAAACAGCGAGTAGCAGCAGTGTAAAAACAAAGGAGGGGGGTGTCAATGCAAATAGTCTGGGTGGCCATTTGATTAATTGTCAGAAGTTTTATGGCTTGGGAGTAGAAGCTGTTAAGGAGCGTTTTGGACCTAGACTTGGCGCTCCGGTACCGCTTGCCTTGCGGTAGCAGAAAGAACAGTCTATGACTTTGGTGACTGGAGTCTTTGACAATTTTTTTGGCCTTCCTCTGACACCGCCTAGTATATAGGAACTGGATGGCAGGAAGCTTGGCCCTAGTGATGTACTGGGCTGAACGCACTACCCTCTGTAGAGCCTTACGGTCGGATGCTGAGCAGTTGCCATGCCATGTGGTGATGCAACCGGTCAGGATGCTCTAGATCAGGGGTGTCAAACGTCCGGCCCGCAAACGGGTTTAATCCGGCCCGCGAGATGATTAAAAAAAAACTTTTTTTTTGTAAAGCATAAAAATGCGCTGCTATTTTTCAATAAAATAAACTGCTGTTCCAATTGCGTCCACTGGATGGCGCAATAGCACTTGTGTTAAGCAAGCAAACTGTTTATACCGGGGCAGAGCAAGTAGGTCAAGCACGTGCAGCCAATGAGCTACTTTGTTTTGCCCGCGATATTTATTACGGCTTCTACTTTTAACATTATGTGCTTTGGCACCCTCATTGCCCCAATATGTCTCTGTCAAAAAAGAGAAAAGTGGACGCAGAGTGCAGAGTGTTCCAAGAAAAATGGTCATCCTATTTATTCACGGAATTGAATGGGAACGCTGTATGTTTGGTGTGTTCAGAGCATGTTGCAGTGCTGAAAGAATATAACCTTCGTCGCCACTATGTGAGTCTTCATGCCGACAAATATGACAACTTTCAAGGACAGCGGAGATGAGAGAAGGTGAATGAACTGTTGGCGGGTCTGAAGAAACAGCAGTCTGTGTTTACTCACAGCCGAGACATCAGTGACGCTGCAGTGAAAGCTAGCTACCTCATTGCTAATGAAATCGCAGTGGCTTCAAAACCATTTAGTGAGGGTGAATTTGTAAAAACATGCATGATGAAGGCAGCGGAGATTGTGTGCCCTGAAAAGCGGCAGGCTTTTGCAAATATCAGCCTGACAAGAAACACAGTTGCAGACAGGATTTCCGATCTTTCAGTGGATTTGGACAGCCAGTTGAAGCAAAAAGTAAAGTCATTTATTGCGTTTTCGGTTGCAATTGATGAAAGCATGGACATTACAGATGTTGCACAACTGGCCATTTTCATCCGCGGAGTTGATGACACATTGACCGTCACCGAGGAGTTCGTGGAGTTGGTGCCGATGACAGATACAACGACAGCAGCTGATATTTTTACCGCACTCGTCGGCGCGCTGGACAGGGTCGGAGTGGACTGGTCCCGCGCTGTCAGCCTGGCTACAGATGGTGCGCCCTCAATGATCGGGAAAAAAGCAGGCGTTGTGACAAAGTTCAGAGAGAAAGTGCAATCTGCAAATGGAGGACGTGATTTTTTGACTTTTCACTGTATTTTGCACCAGGAGGCTTTGTGTTGCAAGTCATTAAAGATGGATAACGTCATGAAGGTGGTCATCCAAACTGTTAATTTCATCCGATCCAGAAGCCTGAATCACCGTCAGTTTGACAGCCTTCTCAGAGAGAAAGACCACATCTATGGCCTGCCATACCACACTGAGGTAAGATGGTTAAGCCGAGGTGCTGTGCTGAGGCGTTTCTTTGATTTACGAGAAGAAATTGAACAGTTCATGGAAGAAAAGGGCAAACCAGTGTTAGAATTTCATTCCGCAGAATGGATGCAGGACCTTGCATTTATGGTGGATGTTACAGAGCACCTGAATAACTTGAACAAACAGCTGCAAGGGCGCAACAAAGTTGTCACGCAGTATTATGACAGCATACGTTCTTTCAAGTTGAAGCTGTCATTGTGGGAGACGCAACTTGCCGGTGGTGATGCAGCTCACTTCCCCTGTCTGAAAAATGTGTGCGCGACCCAACATGTGGCAGACATGAAGCGGTTCAAAGATAAAATAACGGGACTGTTACGGGAGTTTGAGCAACGCTTTCAGATTTATGTTTATATGTTTTTATGTTGATGTGCTATTGTTTTTAATTGATTTTATTTTATTTGTATATTTAACCTATTCTTGACTCTGTGGTTCTTGCACTTGTTTGGGGAACAGGATTTCATTATTTTTATCTACATTTCTGCCTGAGAAATGACACCCTGATATAGTTCTGTGATCTGTGATATACTTCTGTGAATCACTGAGGCATTGTGTGTTTGTGTGTTCTTTGTCCTCAGAACTTTCAAATAACTTGAGGTGTTTTATGATTAATAGTGATGTTGTGCTTTTGGACACTGTCCTCAGGCTCCAGCTTTATGTTTATATGTTTTTATGTTGATGTGCTATTGTTTTTAATTGTTTTTATTTTATTTGTATATTTAACCTATTCTTGACTCTGTGGTTCTTGCACTTGTTTGGGGAACAGGATTTCATTATTTTTATCTACATTTCTGCCTGAGAAATGACACCCTGATATAGTTCTGTGATCTGTGAAACAGTTCTGTTAATCACTGAGGCATTGTGTGTTTGTGTGTTCTTTTTCTTTAGAATTTTCAAATAAACTTGACGTGTTTTATGATTAATAGTGATGTTGTGCTTGTACTATTTTGGACACACTGTCCTCAGGCTCCAGCTTTATGTTGTATGTTGATCATATTAAAACAAAGAAAACAATCTGAAGTTGTTGTTTTTAAGTTATATATACCATGATTTTTCCGGTCCGGCCCACTTGGGAATAGATTTTCCTCCATGTGGCCCCTGAGCTAAAATGAGTTTGACACCCCTGCTCTAGATGGTGCAGCTGTAGAACTTTTTGAGGATCTGGGGACCCGTGCCAAATATTTTCAGTCTCCTATGGGGGAAAAGGCGTTGTGGTGCCCTCTTCACGACTTTCTTGGTGTGTTTGGACCCTGATAGTTTGTTGGTGATGTGGACACCAAAGAACTTGAAACTCTCGACCAGCTCCACTACAGTGCCTATTATTTTAGAATTAAGTGATAGCTTTTATTTGTGATTTGTTTAGAAGGAATAGATTACACCCTTACAGAGCACATTTCTTTGGGAGTTTTTATTTTATTTGTGGTGCTTTGATATGTGCATTTTTGTGTCCCTAATCTGTCCTAGGTTGTTTAATTTATTGCAGTGCTCAATTAGTTTTTCTTTAAACCCTAACAGTAGTTCTAGGACATATTAAACGACAAAGTACATTTCGTGAAGGCTGTGAGTGTGAAATAATAATTTTAAAAAGTCTGGGACAATGTTGACGAGAGGTTGGCTTTCGTTCAACTGGAGCATATATACAGTCCCCATTGATAGTCATTGGGCTGAAGAGAGGGGGAGGTACACAAGATGGCGGCAAAATGATAGCAGCTGCATCAATAATAGCAAACAGACACAAATAAAACACTACAGCGAAAGATTACATAACTAACAGGACATCTGTCGATCAGTCTGGATGTTAAGGTGAGACCCGTTACCACAAAATGCCGACATTTAGCTAGCTTAACTACCATCCACTTTAATCTGTATTTAGCCGTTAGCTGCTGGGTAGCTAGGTAGGGAGGGTAACGTCGTTACTGTACTTATTACTTACTAGGAACTTCATCCGATTTTGAACAGCCTAACTAACTACATAGCTAGCTAACTAAACGCCCATTGCATACAGTTAGACGAGTTATCTGGCTAGCTAGAATGAAATTGTAAATTCGTGCGCGTGTTCGAGAAGATTGGAGTTAAGGTTTGAGACCTAGATAAAATTAGTTTTATATTGGATATTTGGGTTTTCTCTTGTAAATGGATATTGAACCCAAACATGCCATGACAATGAAGATGGTGTATTCTGAATCAGGTATGTATGGAAATTAATCCACTTCTTTAAAAAATAATATGACTTTGGATTTTAATCTTCAATAGCTCTTACACAAAGTGTGCCATGCAAAATCTGGATCCTACAAATCAGCTGGGCTAGACAATCTGGACCCTTTCTTTCTAAAATTAGCCGCCAAAATTGTTGCAACCCCTATTACTAGCCTGTTCAACCTCTCTTTCATATCGTCTGAGATCCCCAGAGATTGGAAAGCTGCAGCGGTCTTCCCCCTCTTCAAAGGGGGTAACACTATAGATCCAAACTGTTACAGACCTAATCCATCCTGCCCTGCCTTTTGAAAATATTTGAAAGCCAAGTTAACAAACAGATCGCCGACCATTTCGAATCCCACCGTACCTTCTCCGCTATGCAATCTGGTTTCCGAGCTGGTCATGGGTGCACCTCAGCCACGCTCAAGGTCCTAAACGATATTATAACCGCAATCAATAAAAGACAGGACTGTGCAGCCGTCTTCATCGACCTGGCCAAGGCTTTCGACTGCATTCTTATTGGCAGACTAAATAGCCTTGGTTTCTCAAATGACTGCCTCACCTGGTTCACCAAGTACTTCTCAGATAGAGTTCAATGTGTCAAATCGGAGGGCCTGTTGTCTGGACCTCTGGCAATCTCTATGGGGGTGCCACAGGGTTCAATTCTCGGGCCGACTACTCTCTGTGGAAATCAATGATGTCGCTCTTGCTGCTGGTGACTCTCAGATCCACCTCTATGCAGACGACACCATTTTGTATACATCTGGCCCTTCATTGGACACTGTGTTAACAATCCTCCAAACGAGCTTCAATGCCATACAACACTCCTTCGGTAGCCTCCAATTGCTGTTAAACGATAGTAAAACTAAATGCATGCTCTTCAATTAAACGCTGCTTGCACCTGTCCGCCCGACTAGAATCACTACTCTCGGCGGGTCTGACTTAGAATATGTGGACAACTACAAATACCTAGGTGACTGGTTAGACCGTAAACTCTCCTTCCAGATTCACATTAAGCATCTCCAATCCAAAGTAAAATCTAGAATCAGCTTCTTATTTCGCAACAAAGCCTCCTTCACTCATGCTGCCAAACATGCCCTCGTAAAACTGACTATCCTACCGATCCTTGACTTCGGCGATGTCATTTACAAAATAGCCTCCAACACTCTACTCAGCAAATTGGATGTAGTCTATCACAGTGCCATCTGTTTTGTCACCAAAGCCCCATATACTACCCACCATTGTGACCTGTACGCTCTTGTTGGCTGGCCCTCACTACATATTCGTTGCCAAACCCACTGGCTCCAGGTCATCTATAAATCACTGCTAGGCAAATCCCCACCTTATCTTAGCTCATTGGTCACCATAGCAACACCCACCCGTAGTATGCGCTCACTGGTCATCCCCAAAGCCAACACCTCCTTTGGCCGCCATTCCTTCCAGTTCTCTGCTGCCAATGACTGGAACGAACTGCAAAAAATCTCTGAAGCTGGAGACTCTTATCTCCCTCACTAACTTTAAACATCAGTTGTCAGAGCAGCTTACCAATCACTGCACCTGTACACAGCCCATTTATAATTAGCCCACCCAACTACCTCATCCCCATATTGTTATTTATTTTGCTCATTTGCACCCCAGTATCTCTATTTGCACATCATCTTCTGCACATCTCACTCCAGTGTTAATACTAAATTGTCATTATTTTGCACTATGGCCTATTTATTGCCTTACCTCCACAACTTACTACATTTGCACACACTGTATATAGATTTTCTATTTTTCTATTGTGTTATTGACTGTACGTTTTTGTTTATCCCATATGTAACTCTGTGTTGTTCTTGTTATCGCACTGCTTTGCTTTATCTTGGCCAGGTCGCAGTTGTAAATGAGAACTTGTTCTCAACTGGCCTACCTGGTTAAATAAAGGTGAAATAAAAAACGTTTAAATTTTTTTTGATAATGATATATTCTGAAGCAGGGAAGGATGGTCAAAAATCCACAGCTTTTTTTTTGTGTGGGGGATATTTGCTATTTTTTATTTTGCTATTGAAGATTGAAAAAGAAAAGGAGAGCCACACACTCTAGGAGCTCAGATGCAATAATTTAATAACCGAATAACCAGCGTTTCGACAGGCAAGCTGTCTTCATCAGGGTTGACAGCTTGTCTGTCGAAATGTTGGTTATTAGGTTATTCAATTATAACATCTGAGCTCCTAGAGTGTGTGGCTCTCCTTTTCTTTTTCAAGTATTCTACTCCGTTAGCCAGCATGTCCCTAAAAAGGTGTGTGTTTCTTTCGCTTCCAAATTGAAGATTGAAAGCCTGAAGATAAAATAAAACTGTCCATTCTCCCCAATTCAGAATATATCATGTTCATAGTCATGGCACACTTTGTGTAAGAGCTGTTCAGTATTAAAATCTGAAAGTGTCCGCAATATTTTTGGGTGTGGATTGTTCTCCATCAATCCCCGACTCAGAAATATCATATTCATTGCATGCTTGGTTCAATAGCTATTGACAAGAGATAACCGAATATCCAATATAAAACCAATTTTACCACCCTAAAGTTGAGGTGTCAAAAACATGTTAGCTGGTAACTAGCTACAGTGAGTTGAGGACTAGCTACAGTGAGTTGAGGAAGGTAGCTAGCTACTGAAACAACAATCGGAAAACGGCAAAATACCTGAGGCTAGCTAGCTAACGTTAACTAACTCCGCTTGGTTGCATTCACTGACTGAGTCGTGCAACAACAGCTCGGCTGTCATTCTCGATTTGTCTTTGTTTGCTTGCGTTCTGAAATGCAGATGTCATGGTTTTAGTATTTTGACAGCAGACCAGAAGTAGCCTAAAATGCATAGCCAGCCTTGTGGACCTGTAGCTAATATCCCTTGATTGCTGAAAGATTTGACTGTTGATTAGCTACATTTTGTCCACACAGGTTCCCTGGAGCAGTATCTTGAGTTGCCAACTGGGAAAGACTAGTGGACTGACTAGAAGAGCCGACAATAAATCTAGGACCCAGAGCATAAAGATACTAAAGACTGAAATAACTCATTTTGGTGTGTGTTTGAGTATTTATTGCATCTGCACTTAGATCAAGGCAAACCAATGGTGACCATGGATCGCTACAAGGTCCTATGGCCGACATGCTTCGCTTGGCTTTGAAACAGAACCGGTTACCTCTCCCTCTGCCTGTCGCCAGCTCATATCAGATCACAGATGGAGGTGACATGGAACTATGCAGCGGAATGTAAACTTAACCAGACGTCCCGCTCTCTGCTCAGTAGCACCTGTCACACAGCCTGAACTCTCCACAAATCTTTTCACCCTGGACCTTGGCCTTGCTGGGTCTTAGTTAACTACCCCACACCACTCTGGAAACCGTTACAGCTAGCCTACAGCTTCTTCCCACAAACCGAAACGAACCCCTTTATGTTTACAGACCTACTCTATTACAACGTAAACGGTTTCTCTCAATGCCCGTTCCTGGCTACACCTCCCATGTCACTTAGTGTTTTCTAATTGAACTGTATCCCTGAGCCACCAGCATACACAGCCCAGGCCAAAGGCTTAAGGTCACAGCACTATATTGGACTTTCTGGAGAACACTACAGTAACTAAGCCGTAACTAAGTTGATTTAACCATGAGTGTCGGAGAGCTGCAGCACCTGGACTATCTGACTGAGAATGAGCTGATGGGCATGGACACGTTCATCCACCGCATCGACTCCACAGAGGTGATCTACCAGCCGCGCAGGAAGAGGGCCAAGCTGATCGGGAAGTACCTGATGGGCGACCTGCTGGGGGAGGGCTCCTACGGTAAGGTGAAGGAGATGCTGGACTCTGACACGCTGTGTCGCAGGGCCGTCAAGATCCTCAAGAAGAAGAAGCTCCGGAGGATCCCCAACGGAGAGGCCAACGTGAAGAAGTAAGTAGTGGGGTTTTAGGGAGGGAGGGAGAGACTGAGGGGGGAGCGTGTGATGTGGTGGGTTTCTCTCTCTCGTGTCTCTGTGTGATTTGTCACTCTTTCTTACTCGCTCTCTCCTTCCCTCTGATTTACACTCTTGGTCATGCATCGTCAAGCACAATTGTTTAACAACTAATGTCACTGCTATAGGATGATTGTCAGGGTGTAACGCTTTAGATTGTGTGTCTTTCTGATTTATCTTAATACTACTGTATTCACGCCTACAGTGTCTCATGAACCGTTTTCCCTACATATGATTGACTATCTTCTCCCCCCCGTTTAAAGTTAACAGCAACACTTTGGATCTTTGTTTGCATTTCACTCTCCTCTTCCAATGCATCCCTCTCCTCTTCCAATGCATCCCTCTCCTCTTCCAATGCATCCCTCTCCTCTTCCAATGCATCCCTCTCCTCTTCTCCCTATATGGTAGCGCCGTAGTTGAAGATTTACAGGCCTGCATCAGTGCAACCTCTCTTCCCATGATGGAAACACAGTCATGTTCTCCATTACTGTTCACGCGTCTCATGTTTGTTTTTTGTTGATCCAAACTCACACGTTGCTCATTCATATTGGTCTTCATGTCATTCTTACAGTATAGGCCAGAGCCATGTATTTAAATATATGGCTCTGTTATAGGCTTACCCCTCAGCCCTCCACTGATTTTATTCAGAGTATCATAATGATCATTTGAATCTGTCACGTGGATGACCCAGAGCCACACTCTCTTATGGAGACTGTTTATTTCTCTCTTTCGCTCTCCCAGTTAAACTCAAAGGGCTTTATTGGCATGGGAAACATACAGTTGAAGTCGGAAGTTTACATACACTTAGGTTGGAGTCATTAAAACTCGTTTTTCAACCACTCCACAAATTTCTTGTTAACAAACTATAGTTTTGGCAAGTCGGTTAGGACATTTACTTTGTGCATGCCACAAGTAATTTTTCCAACAATTGTTTACAAACAGATTATTTCACTTATAATTCACTGTATCACAATTCCAGTGGGTCAGAAGTTTACATACACTAAGTTGAATGTGCCTTTAAACAGCTTGGAAAATTCCAGAAAATGATGTCATGGCTTTAGAAGCTTCTGATAGGCTAATTGACATCATTTGAGTCAATTGGAGGTGTACCTGTGGATGTATTTCAAGGCCTACCTTCAAACTTAGTGTCTCTTTGCTTGACATCATGGGAAAATCAAAAGAAATCAGCCAAGACCTCAGAAAATACATTGTAGACCTCCACAAGTCTGGTTCATCCTTGGGAGCAATTTCCAAACGCCTGAAGGTACCACGTTCATTTGTGCAAACAATAGTACGCAAGCCAAAGAACACCATTCCAACATAAGCACGGGGGTGGCAGCATCATGCTGTGGGGGTGCTTTGCTGCAGGAGGGTCTGGTGCACTTCACAAAATAGATGGAATCATGAGGAAGGAAAATATGTGGATATATTGAAGCAAGTTAAACAATTTAAAGGCAATGCTACCAAATACTAATTCAGTGTATGTACACTTCTGACCCACTGGGATTGTGATGAAAGAAATCATTCTCTCTATTTTAAGAATGTGAAATGTCAGAATAATAGTAAAGTGGTGATCCTAACTGACCTAAGACAGGGAATTCTTACTAGGATTAAATGTCAGGAATAGTGAAAAACTGAGTTTAAATGTATTTGGCTAAGGTGTATGTAAACTTCCGACTTCAACTGTATGTTAACATTGCGAAAGCAAGTGAAATGGATAATAAACAAAAGTGAAATAAACAAACATTACACTTACAAAAGTTCCAACGGAATAGACTTTTCATATTCTCTCTCTCTCCTCAGTCTCTTTCTTTCTATAAATTGTTTTCCTTGTCATCCTCCCTTTCGCAGGGACAGCCAAGGTTTTAATCACACAATGGAGGTTATTTAATAAACGGTCATGATTTCCCACGGAGGGAAAGTGTTTAGAGAGATGCAGGAACAATTCAGTTTAGGTTGCTTTACTGTAACTCGCAGGGTCTCAGTAGATATTCAAGGCTTTTTGTAGAACACCTTCGCTGTAACAGTGCACGTTTTCTTGGTTTGGGTTGCAAGTTCTGGTCTGATTTCTTTTAGCCTCTTTTTTGAATGTGATTACACTGACTTGATTATGTTAGTGTTGTCTAGGCTACCCACCGCCGGTGTTATGGGGAATGTAATGTTCTGTCTGGCATCGTACTCACACCCTCTATTTATCTAAACAAGGCTTGGCCTGATACTAAGGGTCCTCCTATGTGTCAGGATGTGTGCTGTTGTGTAGTATACATGCCTGAGTTTCTCACACTGTTTTGGTGGGAACAGACTAGTGCATTTGCGCATGTCTGTGTAGGTGGGCCCTATCCTATGGGTTTGAGCCTGTGTGAGAGCCATCCCTAGCCTTATAAGGCCCTGGATGCCATAGCAGTACTACCCTGAGCCCCTCTCCTCTCTCTACACTCACAGCAGCCATCGCTTAGCATTCCGGTCTGCCAAACACTTCCTACTTACGCTGCCCCGTGTTGCCACGGGGATAGGCACACTCACACTCTGGTATTGCGCAATGACCACTCCTGTTGCTTGGGCAACGCCTCCGGAATGACGAGCCCTGGTTTGGAATGCCACATCCCACTGGGCTAGAACTCCTGAGCGGGGGAGATGTGGAGGTGTGTTCATTGAGTGATTTCATTGGACGACTAGCAGGTAAAATTCAACAAGTTTGTCATCATAATGAATTAACAGAGAAGGTAAAGCACTGGCAGATGTAGAATGTAACCGAAGCCATGTCAAAGCTATTTGTGTAGTCAGTCGATAAATTGTAAAAGTGCAGGTTTCCGTCCTCCTGGACAGCATCCCACAGAGAGATATTGAATCCACTGCAGATACTCTCTCTATGCATCAGACACAGTGCTTTAGACAGCAAAATGCTGACACAGATTTCTGTATTATCCTAGAAAACAGCAGTGCTGCTCACTCTTGTTGAATGCAGAATGTTTTTACCCTTGACTGGGATAGATGATGCAGCAAAGGTTTATCAATTGCCTTTTTAGTACTAGGAAGTGAAGTGACCACAATTCTGATACACATAGGCCTATATTTACATCACAGATGGTAAAGCAAAACAAGAAGTCATTTCGATTGGTAGTGCTGCTCTTTACTAGTATGACTAAAGTCTGTTTTTCCCCCCTGACATTGGAAATGTCCTCCATGGCATGTGTGCAATACATTCTCTCTTGCAATGGTTAGTCCATTTTTAAGTAGTAGTAGTAGTAGTAGTACTTGTTGTTGTTGTTGTTGTAGTAGTACTTGTTGTTGTAGTAGCAGAGGACTGAGCCAGCCTCTGACTGCAGGCTAAGATTACATAAACGCCCACCGTACAGATTGAGCTACAGTACAGTGTATAGCTTTTGTGTGAGAGACTTGACAGTTTACACTACAGAAAGAGGGTGTGTGCTTTATTTTTAAATTATTTTTTTAAAGGAACTCAGTCAGGCTTTAAACTTCCTCTTGAAAGTTCTAATAGTAGAATGCACAAGGTGCAATTTTGAAAGTGGGTATTGCATCATCAGTTCCTCTTGTCATGTCAGTCATTGCATACCTTAGAGAGCTATTTATAACTTGTCAGAAATGTCCACATCAACTCAGCCCATGTTAGCTGACGTTTTGTTATTTAGGTTTTTTAGCCCATAGATATTGTTGTAATTTTTTTAGTCACTCAAATATCACATGAATACACATTAGACATGGCAAAATGTATACAATTGCATGACATTAGCTTTAAAACTTCAACATTTTCTTTGTGAAGAATTGCAGGAAGTAAGCTTTAAACCTGAAAAATTATCTTCACCAACAAGATGGGTGTGAACAGTTTGTGTCATGAACAGTGCTTGTGCCCATAGAATTAGATGTGACCCGTGGGCGGGGGGGGGGGGGGGCGCGGGATGTTCCCCAATGCTGGAAGGGGGGACCCGAGTGGAAAAACATTTGGGAATCCCTGCCCTACATGGTGCTTCAATACACGGTGGGCAGAGTGCAGGCATCCCGATGCTGTGCAGTGAACCACTGGCTTAATTAACTTATTACAAGACGTAAGATTACCATAAGCGGAGAAAATGTACTCATGAAAATTACCTTTTCAAATGTAGCCGAGATTTCCTTCCTTCCCATTTGAATGGCATGGTTAATTTAAACACATAGAGGATTCATTTTAAAAAAACAGGCTGCTATGGGGACGTTCTCTGTGATCTAGACTAAAACATACATACACACAGCAGTGTGTGTGCACGCGCCCTTCATACAGTGGTTGTATTCATTAGTGGCAGGCAGGCAACTCTGTAGCAGCTCTCAGATGAATGTGGAGTCTCCTGTGGGTTTGTCATGGTGGTGCTGGGGGGTGATTTTAAAGCTCCTTTCCCAAGGTCAGTTCACAGATCTGTGGCTATACTGAGCTTGCTGCTATAGCCACCCTAATGCTTCATTCACTGTATCCTTTCTAATTTATTTTTCAGATTTGTGACATTTAGGAAAAGACTGTAAAGTCACACTTTGTTCATCTTACAATGATATATATATATATATATTTTGTATTTCTTTAACCAATGGTTTAGTTGTGATGCCTGTGATGGATTGTTTCATTTGTTGTTTGTGTTTCAGGGAGATCCAGCTGCTACGGAGGCTCCAACACAAAAATGTGATCCATTTGGTGGATGTGTTGTACAATGAAGAGAAGCAGAAAATATATCATTTCTTCCAGTGTGTGTGTGTGTGTGTGTGTGTGTGTGTGTGTGTGGTATACATTTTAAGCTACATTAGCTTGTGCGTGTGGAATGTTTGCAAATTGATGAGGGTGGCAAGATTTCCTTATGAATTGTCTAGTCATGTGAGAACTTCCTCTGTTTTGAAGTGAACTTTGACTCTGTGCAGGCTCTCCTAGCAGTATGTGTGTGCCTCTCTCTCTCTCTCTCTCCAGTGAGGGGAAAATGTATTTGATCCCCTGCTGATTTTGTACGTTTGCCCACTGACAAAGACATGATCAGTCTTTCATTTTAATGGTAGGTTTATTTGAAGACAGAATAACAACAACAAAATCCAGAAAAACGCATGTCAAAAATGTTATAAATTGATTTGCATTTTAATGAGGGAAATAAGTATTTGACCCCTCTGCAAAACATAACTTAGTACTTGGTGGCAAAACGTTTCAGTCAGACGTTTCTTGTAGTTGGCCACCAGGTTTGCACACATCTCAGGAGGGATTTTGTCCCACTCCTCTTTGCAGATCTTCTCCAAGTCATTAAGGTTTCGAGGCTGACGTTTGGTAACTCGAACCTTCAGCTCCCTCCACATATTTTCTATGGGATTAAGGTCTGGAGACTGGCTAGGCCACTCCAGGACCTTAATGTGCTTCTTCTTGAGACACTCCTTTGTTGCCTTGGCCGTGTGTTTTGGGTCATTGGCATTTTCAATGCCCAGGCTGAGGGAAGGAGGTTCTCACCCAAGATTTGACGGTACATGGCCCCGTCCATCGTCCCTTTGATGCGGTGAAGTTGTCCTGTCCCCTTAGCAGAAAAACACCCCCAAAGCATAATGTTTACACCTCCATGTTTGACGGTGGGGATGGTGTTCTTGGGATCATAGACAGCATTCCTCCTCCTCCAAACACGGCGAGTTGAGTTGATGCCAAAGAGCTCGGTTTTGGTCTCATCTGGCCACAACACTTTCACCCAGTTCTCCTCTGAATCATTCAGATGTTAATTGGCAAACTTCAGACGGGCCTGTATATGTGCTTTCTTGAGCATGGGGACCTTGCGGGCGCTGCAGGATTTCAGTCCTTCACGGTGTAGTGTGTTACCAATTGTTTTCTTGGTGACTATGGTCCCAGCTGCCTTGAGATCATTGACAAGATCCTCCCGTGTAGTTCTGGGCTGATTCCTCACCGTTCTCATGATCATTGCAACTCCACGAGGTGAGGACTTTCATGGAGCCCCAGGCCGAGGGAGATTGACAGTTCTTTTGTGTTTCTTCCATTTGAGAATAATCGCACCAACTCTTCTCACCAAGCTGCTTGGCGATGGTCTTGTAGCCCATTCCAGCCTTGTGTAGGTCTACAATCTTGTCCCTGACGTCCTTGGAGAGCTCTTTGGTCTTGGCCATGGTGGAGAGTTTGGAATCTGATTGATTGCTTCTGTGGACAGGTGTCTTTTATACAGGTAACAAACTGAGATTAGGAGCACTCCCTTTAAGAGTGTTCTCCTAATCTCAGCTTGTTACCGGTATAAAAGACACCTGGGAGCCAGAAATCTTTCTGATTGAGAGGGGGTCAAATACTTATTTCCCTCATTAAAATGCAAATCAATTTATAACATTTTTGACATGCGTTCTTCTGAATTTTTTTGTTATTCTGTCTCTCACTGTTCAAATAAACCTACCATTAAAATTATAGACTGATCATTTATTTGTCAGTGGGCAAACGTACAAAATCAGCAGGGGATCAAATACTTTTTTCCCTCACTCTATCTCTCTGTCTCTGTGCGTCCCTCCCTCTGCGGTCATTTAACAGATGCTCTTATCCAGAGCGACTTACTTTTAGGTAGCTAGGCGAGACAACCACATCAGTCTATTCTGTATCATCCCTCTTCTCTCTTCCCCTACAATATCTACCTAGAGCTTTTCTTGCTAAGATAATATCACATTGATTATGAGCTCAAACGATTATACAGTTGCGCCCAAATATATTGGCACCCTTGCACTTTTCTTAAAGGGATACTTCGGGATTCTGGCAATGAATTATCTACTTCCCCAGAGATGAACTCATGGATACCATTTTTATGTCTCTGCATCCAATATTAAGGAAGTTGGAGGTAGTTTCACAAGCCAATGCTAACTAGCGTTAGCGTAATGACAAAGTTTTATAGACCTTGTCATTGCTCTAATGCTAGTTAGAAATTGAGCTAATGCTAGATAGCGACTTCTTTCAGACTGCACGCAGAGACATAAAAATGGTATCCACAAGTTCATCTGGCTCTGGGGAAGTAAATAAAGTGCTTCATTCCCAAAATATACCTTTTAATAATTCCCTATTCTAAAATAAGTTGACATTTTAAATAAAAAAAACTTTAGTTCACCACACCTTGTTATTGGATTTTCAACATGGCAGAACCCATTTTTTCTTTGTAAACTTTTAACATTTTAATTGATAAAATAAAGACAAATGGCATGGACAAAATGATTGGCACCCCAGAGATAGTACTTGGTTGCACAGCCTTTTGCCAAGATAACTGCCAACAAATGCTTCTTGTAGCTGTCAATGAGCTTGCTGTACCTTTCTACTGGCTCTTCTACTTTTTAGCAGCAAATTGCTCTGCTCTAATTATTCAACGTTTGAGGGTGTCATCCTCCAAGTGCTGTTTTCAGATCTGGACTCTTCACTGGCCACTCCAGAACATTGCAAAGGTCCCAACTGCCAATATTTATGGCCGGAACTGTATCTTGTTTTTGCCTTTTTATATATATATTTTTTGTTCCAAGATAACTAGCATTGCTACTTGCTTAAAGCCTTGGAGAAACTCAACTAAACAAATAAAACAAGAGCCATATTTAGTCGATTTCCCACTCTGAGCCAGTAACTTTCAATGCATTCTGTACGAGGAAAATGTATTTCCTTTTCTGCTGTATTTTAATGGCTGTTTTAATATAGCAGTTTGTTTAGTGTTGAAATGCTTCTCATTACCCTGTTGTTTTGAGTATTCCCTTGACTCCCTGTCTCACGTATATGGTGATGGAGTATTGCGTATGTGGGATGCAAGAAATGCTGGACAGCGTCCCAGAGAAAAGGTTTCCAGTATTTCAAGCTCACGGGTAAGTTTCTCTCTTTCTTGCCAGCTCTCTCACTCTATCCTTTCTCTCGCCCTCTCTCTCTTTTGCTAATTCTCCCCAGTTTTCTCTTTCATGCCAGCTCTTTCTCTCGCCATCTCTCCTATTTTCTCCCGCTTGCTCTCCTCGCTCTCTCTCTTTCTCGCCCCACTGCTATTATTAGTGTGAGCTTCTTCCCAGACTAAGTTTAGGGCCAGTACCCAGCAGGACTGCAAAGCTCTCCATTGCAAGAATACCTGGTCAATGGACAAATCCCCAACTGTTAGATGACTGTGCATTGTGAAGTTTCAAAAGCTGGAGTCAAGTTCATTAGCCGTTCTTTTGCACCTCATTTCGCCTCTCTGTTCTCTTTGTCTCTCTCATTTTTGCTCTCTTCTTGCCTTTTATTTCTCCTCTCTCCGCTCCCTTGCTTTCCCCCACTGTATATCTGTCTTCTTCCTGTAAGTGCTAGATATAAAAGCTGTCATTGATTGATACCTGTTGAATATCCACTGTCTATATGGCTGATGGATCTTTATCAATAAATAGTTCCAGATTTTTAGGATTTCTCATAACCTCATTTGGTGATCACTTATCTTTCTCATGTCTTGATTGCTTGCAAATTCGCGTTTTCAATGCCTCTCAATCTTGTCTCTCTCTTCCTCTCTCTTGCTCTTCCTTTCTCTCTCTCGCCTCTCTGCTCTTTCGTGATCTCCCTTCTGCCTCCTGCATCTCGTCTCTTCTCTCACTTTGTTCTCTCTTTCTGTTTATCATCTTCTCATCCTGATCTATTTCTCGTCTGAGCGTTTCAGATCTCTGTCTTCGTTCTGTCGTCTCTCTCTGCTCATACTTGTCTGCTTCTCGTTATTCCTGCTCTCTCCCTGTTGCTCTCTCTCGCATGTCCTCTTCTCTGCTGTATCTGTCTCTCTTCTCTTCGCTCGTCTGCTCTTCTCTCTCTCTCCCGCGTCTCTCTGCTCTCTCGCTTCTGTCTCTTCTCCTGCTCTCTCGCTGTCTCTTCTCTCCTGCTTCTTGCCTCGTCTGTTCTTCTCGTCGCTCTTCTTCGCTGTCTTCTCCTCTCCCTCTTGCTGTCTGCTCTCCTCTCTCGTGCTCTCTCTCTCTGCTGTCTCTCTCGTTCTCTGTCTGCTGTCCTCTCTCTTCTCTCTCGTGTTTCTTTTCGCTTCTCTCGCTCTCTCCTCTGCTCTCTCGCTGCTCTTCTCTCTCTCTGCTCGCTGTGTCTCTCTCTCTCCGTCTTGTCTCTGTTCTCTCTCTCTCTCGCTTCGTCTCTCTCTCTTCCGCTTCTCTCGTCTCCTCTCTCGTGTCTCTCTCTCGCTTCTGTCTCTCTTCTCTCGCTGTCCTGCTCTCTCTCTCTTCCTGTCTCTTCGCTCTCTTGTCTCGCTGTCTGCTCTCTCTCTCTCTCGCTGTCTCTCTCTCTCGCTGTCTGTCTCTCTTCTCGCGTTCTCTTGTCTCTCTCCGTCTTCTCGGTCTCTTCTCTCGCTCGCGTCTCTCCTCTCTGTGTCTCTGCTCTCTGTTCTCTCCTCTGTCTGTCTCTCTCGCTCTCTCTGTTCCTCTCTCTGTCGCTCTCTCTGCTGCTCTCTTCTCTTCTCTCTCTCTCGCTGTTCTCTCGCTGTCTCGTGCTCTCTCTCTCGCTGTCTCTGTCTCTCTCCTGTCCTTCTCCTCGCTGTCTGTTCTCCTCTCTTCGTTCTCTGTGTCCTCTCTCTCCGTTCTGCCCTCTCCTCCTGTCTCTCGTCTCGTCTTGTCGCTCTCCTCTCGTCTTGCTCTCTCTCGCTCTCTGTATCTCTCTCTCTGTCGCTCTCTCTGTCGCTCTCTCTGTCGCGCTCTCTGTCGCTCTCTCGCTCTCTGTCTCTCGCTCTCGCGCTCTGTCGCTCGCTCTCTCTCTCTCGCTGTCTGTGTCTCTCTCTCTCGCTCTCTCTCTTTCCCTCTCAGGTACTTTTTACAGCTGTTAGATGGTCTTGAATATTTGCACAGCCAGGGAATCGTTCACAAAGACATTAAACCAGGGAATCTGCTGCTGACCACTGACGGCGCGCTCAAGATCTCTGACCTGGGTGTGGCAGAGGTGAGAGGTCAAATACCTATTGTTAGGGACATACAGGTAACTGCCAAAATAAAGTAAACACTTTAGTAAATGAAGATTCTGGCAGCTCTGTTATGGTGTGGTTTTCCTGGCATGGTTTAGGTCCACTCGACCCCTTAGAGGGCAAGGTAAACACCAATAAAGACACAGCCATTCTGAGTGATTACCTTCAACCTATGGTGACTCATTTCTATCCTAATGAGTGGTTTCTTCCAGGATGACAATGCCCCCACAGGGCACAAGTGGTCACTGAATGGTTTGATGAGCATGTAAACCATATGCCATGGCCATCTCCGTCACTAGATCTCAACCCAACTGAACAGTTATAGGAGATTCTAGAGCGGCACCTGAGATGGCGTTTCCACCACCATCAACAAAACAACAAATTATGGAATTTCTTGTGGCATAATGGTGTTGCATCCCTCCAATATAGTTAGACACTTGACGAATCTATGCCAAGGCACATTGAAGCTGTTCTGCATCGTGGTGACCCAACGCACTATTGACACTATTTATATAGGTGTTTCCTTCATTTTGGCAGTTGCCTGTCCATGTTCTTAACTATAGTTTGCAGATAGCATTCTTCCCTCTCTCTGATTGATCATGCTGATTGTGAGCTTTTTTTTCTCCCTACCTCGCTCACGCTCTAATATTATTATATATTTATTATTATATCTTTTTTTTCTTCCCTCTCTCTGCCAGGCTCTGCACCCGTTTGCAAAGGACGACACGTGTCGTACAAGTCAGGGCTCTCCAGCGTTTCAACCCCCCGAGATCGCCAACGGCCTGGACACGTTTTCAGGGTTCAAAGTGGACATCTGGTCTGCAGGTGTCACACTGTGCGTAATGGCTATTGCACTGTCCACGCCCTTCTGACCATGACCCCCAGCCCCTCTCTGACCCCCTCCCCCAGCCCCTCTCTGACCCCCTCCCCCAGCCACTAACACTTTGGGTTGATCTGAAAGAATGACAAATGATAACAGCCTAGTGTCATTAGCGCTTTGATTACAATTCTGTTCATCTTCATTTCAACATCATCCTTTGTGTTGCAGGGAGTCTTAGAATGGTTTTTTCTGTTATAATTATGAGAATTAGTTATACATAGTTCGTGGTCCATGTAAGATAACAATCCTCAGATATGAAGTCTCAAATGAACTCATTGTGTGTAATGTCTTGCCTGTTTCACTTTTCCCTGCCATAGATACAACATTACAACGAGTCTATATCCATTTGAAGGGGACAACATCTATAAGCTATTTGAGAACATTGGGAAGGGAGACTACAGTGTTCCTGAGGAGTGTGGCCCCTCCCTGTCAGACCTACTGCAAGGTGAGGTTGACCATGATGATGAAGATTGCACTGACTTCATTTAGCTCATCACTTTACACAGCACTGGATTACTCCGGTCATGGAGAGCTTTCTTCCAGGTCAACTCTAACGCACCCGATGCAGCTACTCATGGTCTAAATGGAAGATTATTTTAATGTTAGTGCTGGGCTGGAACAAAAGACTGTACACGGCTATTTATCCATGACAGGACTTGGCCACCCTTGTGTGTTAGTCAGGGGAATCACTGGAATATACTGAGAAATGCCCTGTGGCGTTGTCTGAGCTTGTCCAGTAGATGGCATCATGACGTTGACTCGGTCTCCTCAGAATCGGAGGCCTGTAACCTATGCAGAATCGCTTTAGTGGAAGCATAGGGTGTTCTCAGGGCAGGCCTGGTTATAGCTAGAAATTACAACCCTTTTCTTAACCTAATTCTCCTATCCTGCCACGTTAATTATCCTAACCTGCTGCGAAGAGTTACTTCTGCCCTGAGAACAGTGTGTGTTCAGAATAATGCGATACTCCATAACCTACACTATTGAAATATTTCTGCACACTTTCCCATTGATATAGGAACAGCAGTGGACTATTAAAATGGCCTCTGCAAAGGACGGATATGTATTCACCAAACCTCTGCAGTCACTAAACTAGCTCCACTGCGTGCAGCCCTGCACTTAAAGTTGTGACTATGCGTGGGCATACAGTACAACCACAGACAATGAGATTTGGCCTTGGGGACTTCAGTGATAAAAGGGAGATATTTTCTTCAAAAAACAGGAATATAAGGACACCTTGTGGTGCAGTCTAGATGCCTCGAAATGAAAAACTAGAAATGGTACACTGGAAACCGAGAAATCATATATTTAGTTTTTTTATTGGTGTTCAGTAAGGTCTATTTCATCCCTTTCATCATAGCTTTCCAATAAGACCCACACACATCTTGTGAACGAGACTAGATTCAGAACGGAATCGTTTTAATCGTCAAACTTCTTTGTAGTCGAAGCAATGCTTGATCTACAATGAAAGGTTATCAATAGTTGTAGAAAACTAGTTTCTATTGCTTTAGGCAGCTCTGTCATTGACTGAGCCGTTATCTAACGGTCCACTTCCTCTTGACGTGTGTGAGCATGCTTGTATGTTAGGTGTGTGTGTGACGTGTAGGCTCGTGTGTGTGTGTGTGTGTGTGGTGACGCAGCCCAGGTCTGAGAGCCGGCCTGCAATTACAGTCTCTAAAATAAGCTTGTTGCCTGGCACAAAAGGTGTCCTTCAGCACGCCCATGAATAACATCAGCACGCATTACGTACTTCAAATGTAGAAAGCATTAACATAGTCTTGCCCTAAGCGCTGCATCACTGTGGCACTGATGAAGATAAATTAATTTTTGAAGACTGCTTTAGTGTAGGCTAGGGTTGAATATTTTCCCGGTATTTTAGAAATGTTCCATCCCGAGAATAAATGACTTTTCTCCCAGGTAACCTGTTATTTCCAGCCAAAACCGGAAGTGTCATTCAAAAGCATTATAAAGCATATAAATATGTCTGGATTTGATTAGAGCTTTGATCAGCATGAAAATTCAAACCTGATGCTACCTGAGCCTGATGAGCCATATATTTTAAATACATTTTATGAGTCCTACGTTAACGACATTTAATGAGACCAAGCCCAAATGATTGTGCCGTTATCAAATGCATATATGTTATAGGCTACTGCACATTACTCACAACAGGGAATAACATAAAAGCCCATAGATATAGATAGCTCTATGCTCTCTTTGGTAAATAAATGAAACTAGCTCCAGTAGGCTAATCTTTACTGTATTACTGTATTGTATTATACTGTATTAAATGGACTGGAATTATGCACATTGTTCAAACCATGATGAAGCCTGGAGAGAACATGTGATTCTGGTGCAGCACATGTGTCCGACAAAGTTACAAGTATAGGCTAGCGAATTTGATTTACATTTTGAAATATATGGCTTATTTGTATAATTAGTAGGCTGACACATATATTTCCCCAAATGTTATTAGCCTACCTGTTCTTTCTCTTTCTATTGTTGCTTCATTCCTTCCTCACTTTCAACAGTTAAATAAAATATGTTTTGTCGTCCTTATCTTAATCATTCTAATGACATCCTTGAATAATATAGAACTAGAATTAGATGCAGAAGGCTTTCGCTTCTCTTCACGAAGATAGATTGAATGGTTATGGGTCTGAATAAATAACTGCTATAGCCTACACCCATCACGCGTCCGCTCTTCTTTCAAACTACCCGTGAGTTCTATTGGCTGCTGTATTTAACGTTCAGCAAAAAAGAGCTTGCGTCCCTCTTCGAATAGTCTTATTGGTATAAGAAATGTCCAGCAAGCTATTCTAGTCTAGCTTTTCTTGCATGGGACTCCAAGAGCTAAGGAGCGTTTTTTGAGGACAGGCCATAGGAGAACAGGTGCTTGCATATTGCGCAAGAGACGGAGGCTATAAGTTAGAAGCTTATTATGCATAACCCATCATTAATTAGCTAAATATAAGGCTAATACTCCATTAAATGTATTACCTGAAAGAGGTAGGCTAGGATCTCTCACTCTCTGTGTGGGTGTACAGTCGTGGTCAAAAGTTTTGAGAATGACACAAATACTAATTTTCACAAAGTCTGCTGCCTCAGTTTTGATGATGGCAATTTGCATATACTCCAGAATGTCATGAAAAGTGATCAGATGAATTGCAATCAATTGCAAAGTCCCTCTTTGCCATGAAAATGAACTTAATCCCCCAAAAAACATTTCCACTGCATTTCAGCCCTGCCACAAAAGGACCAGCTGCCATCATGTCAGTGATTCTCTCCTTAACACAGGTGAGAGTGTTGACGAGGACAAGGCTGGAGATCACTCTGTCATGCTGATTGAGTTAGAATAACAGCCTGGAAGCTTTAAAAGGAGAGTGGTGCTTGAAATCATTGTTCTTCCTCTGTTAACCATGCCATCATCATTGCTTTGCACAAAAAGGGCTTCACAGGCAAGGATATTGCTGCTAGTAAGATTGCACCTAAATCAACCATTATATCGGATCATCAAGAACTTCAAGGAGAGAGGTTCAATTGTTGTGAAGAAGGCGTCAGGGCACCCAAGAAAGTCCAGCAAGCGCCAGGACCTTCTCCTAAAGTTGATTCAGCTGCGGGATCGGGTCACCACCAGTGCAGAGCTTGCTCAGGAATGGCAGCAGGCAGGTGTGAGTGCATCTGCACGCACAGTGATGCGAAGACTTTTGGAGGATGGCCTGGTGTCAAGAAGGGCAGCAAAGAAGCCACTTCTCTCCAGGAAAAACATCAGGGACAGACTGATATTCTGCAAAAGGTACAGGGATTGGACTGCTGAGGACTGGGGTAAAGTCATTTTCTCTGATGAATCCCCTTTCCGATTTGTTTGGGGCATCCGGAAAACACCTTGTCCGGAGAAGACAAGGTGAGCGCTACCATCAGTCCTGTGTCATGCCAACAGTAAAGCATCCTGAGACCATTCATGTGTGGGGTTGCTTCTCAGCCAAGGGAGTGGGCTCACTCACAATTTTGCCTAAGAACACAGCCATGAATAAAGAATGGTACCAACACATCCTCCGAGAGCAACTTCTCCCAACCATCCAAGAACAGTTTGGTGATGACCAATGCCTTTTCCAGCATGATGGAGCACCTTGCCATAAGGCAAAAGTGATAACTAAGTGGCTCTGGGAACAAAACATCGACATTTTGGGTCCATGTTCAGGAAACTCCCCAGACCTTAATCCTATTGAGAACTTGTGGTCGATCCTCGAGGCGGGTGGACAAACAAAAACCCACATTCTGACAAACTCCAAGCATTGATTATGCAAGAATGGGCAGCCATCAGTCAGGATGTGGCCCAGAAGTTAATTGACAGCATGCCAGGGCGGATTGCAGGGGTCTTGAAAAAGAAGGGTCAACACTGCAAATATTGACTCTGCATAAACTTAATGTAATTGTCAATAAAAGCCTTTGACATTTATGGAATGCTTGTAATTATACTTCAGTATACCATAGTAACATCCAACAAAAATATATCATAACACTGAAGCAGTGAACTTTGTGAAGACCAATACTTGTGTCATTCTCAAAACGTTTGACCACGACTGTACACACACACTTGGAAAGTATTCAGACCCCTTCACTTTTTCCACATTTTGTTACGTTACAGCCTTATTCTAAAATGTATAAAATAGTTTTTTGTCCCTCATAAATCTACACACAATACCCCATAAAGACAAAGCAAAAAAACATTTATATATATATATATATATCAGTTGAAGTCGGAAGTTTACATACACTTAGGTTGGAGTCATTAACTAGTTTTTCAACCACTCCCGAAATTTCTTGTTAACAAACTATAGTTTTGGCAAGTCGGTTAGGACATCTACTTTGTGCATGACACAAGTCATTTTTCCAACAATTGTTTACAGACAGATTATTTCACTTATAATTCACTGTATCACAATTCCAGTGGGTCAGAAGTTTACATACACTAAGTTGACTGTGCCTTTTAAACAGCTTGGAAAATTCCAGAAAATGATGTCATGGCTTTAGAAGCTTCTGATAGGCTAATTGACATCATTTGAGTCAATTGGAGGTGTACCTCTGGATATAGTTCAAGGCCTACCTTCAAACTCAGTGCCTCTTTGCTTGACATCATGGGAAAATCAAAAGAAATCAGCCAAGACCTCAGAAAAAAAATTGTACACCTCCACAAGTCTGGTTCATCCTTGGAGCAATTTCCAAACGCCTGAAAGTACCACGTTCATCTGTACAAACAATAGTACGCAAGTATAAACACCATGGGACCACGCAGCCGTCATACCGGTCAGGAAAGAGACGCGTTCTGTCTCCTAGAGATTAACGTACTTTGATGGGAAAAGCGCAAATCAATCCCAGAACAACAGCAAAGGACCTTGCGAAGATGCTGGAGGAAACAGGTACAGAAGTATCTATATCCACACTAAAACGAGTCCTATATCGACGTAACCTGAAAGGCCGCTCAGCAAGGAAGAAGCCACTGCTCCAAAACCGCCATAAAAAAGCAAATCTACGGTTTGCAACTGCACATGGGGACAAAGATTGTACTTTTTGGAGAAATGTCCTCTGGTCTGATGAAACAAAAATAGAACTGTTTGGCCATAATGACCATCGTTATGTTTGGAGGAAGAAGGGCGACGCTAGCAACATCTCAAGACATCAGTCAGGAAGTTAAAGATTGGTCGCAAATGGGTCTTCCAAATGGACAATGACCCCAAGCATACTTCCAAAGTTGTGGCAAAATGGCTTAAGGACAACAAAGTCAAGGTATTGGAGTGGCCATCACAAAGCCCTGACCTCAATCCTATAGAAAATGTGTGGGCAGAACTGAAAAAGTGTGTGCGAACAAGGAGGCCTACAAACCTGACTCAGTTACACCAGCTCTGTCAGGGGGAATGGGCCAAAATTCACCCAACGTATTGTGGAAGGCTACCCGAACCGTTTGACCCAAGTTAAACAATTTAAAGGCGATGACACTCAATTAGTATTTGGTAGATATAAACTTCTGACCCACTGGGAATGTGATGAAATAAATAAAAGCTGAAATAAATCATTCTATCTACTATTATTCTGACATTTCACTTTCTTAAAATAAAGTGGTGATACTAACTGACCTAAGACAGGGAATTATTACTACGATTAAATGTCAGGAATTGTGAAAAACTGAGTTTAAATGTATTTGTCTAAGGTGTATGTAAACTTCCGACTTCAACTGTGTATGTATGTGTGTGTATAGCCTCCCCTGTAGCTCAGTTGGTAGAGCATGGCGCTTGCCACGCCAGGGTTGTGGGTTCGATTCCCACGGGGGGAAAGTATGAAAAATGTATGCACTCACTAACTGTAAGTTGCTCTGGATAAGAGCGTCTGCTAAATGACTAAAATGTAATATATACTTTTTAAACTATCACATCTACATAAGTATTCAGACCCTTTACTCAGTACTTTTTTGAAGCACCTTTGGCAGCAATTATAGCCTCAAGTCGTCTTTGGTATGATGCTACAAGCTTGGCACACCTGTATTTGGGGAGTTTCTCCCATTCTTCTCTGTAGATCCTCTCAAGGTCTGTCAGGTTCGATAGCACAGCAATTTTCATTGTCAGGTTCAAGTCCGGTCTCTGGCTGGGCCACTCAAGGACATTCAGAGACTTGTCCCGAAGGCGCTCCTGCGTTGTCTTGGCTGTGTGCTTAGGGTCATTGTCCTGTTGGAAGGGGAACCTTCGCCCAAGTGTGAGGTCATGAGTGCCCTGGAGCAGGTTTTCATCAAGGATCTCTCTGTACTTTGCTCCATTCATCTTTCCCTCGATCCTGACTAGTCTCCCAGTCCCTGCCGCTGAAAAACATCCCCACAGCATGATGCTGCCACCACTATGCTTCACCGTAGGGATAGTATTGGCCTGGTGATGAGCGGTCTTGGTTTCCGCCAGATGTGACTCTTGACATTCAGGCCAAAGAGTTCCGTCTTGGTTTCATCAGACCAGAGAATCTTGTTTCTCATGGTCAGAGTCCTTTGGGTGCCTTTTGGCAAACTCCAAGCGGGCCTTTTTACTGTGGAGTGGCTTCCGTCTGGCCACTCTACCATGAAGGCCTGATTTGGTGGAGTGCTGCAGAGATTGTTGTCCGTTTGGAAGGTTCTCCCATCTCCACAGAGGAACTCTGGAGCTCTGTCAGAGTGACCATCGGGTTCTTGGTCACCTCCCTGACCAAGGCCCTTCTCCCCTGATTGCTCAGTTTGGCCGGGCGGCCAGCTCTAGGAAGAGTCTTGGTGGTTCTAAACTTCTTCCATTTAAGAATGATGGAGGCCACTGTGTTCTTGGGGACCTTTTAATGCAGCAGAAATGTTTTGGTACCCTTCTCCAGATCTGTGCCTCGACACAATCCTGTCACGGCGCTCTACGGACAATTCCTTCGGCTTCATGGCTTGGTTTTTGCTGTGACATGCACTGTGAATGGTGGGACCTTTATATAGACAGGTGTGTGCCTTTCCAAATCATGTCCAATTAATTGAATTTACCACAGGTAGACTCCAATCAAGTTGTAGAAACATCTCAAGGATGATCAATGTAAACAGGATGCACCTGAGCTAAATTGCGAGTCTCATAGCAAAGGGTCTGAATACTTATGTAAATAAGGTGTGTGTGTGTATATATATATATATATATATATATATATATATATATATTATTTATTTTAAATGTGCAAAAATGTCTAAACCTGTTCGCTTTGTTCTCATGGGTTGTTGTGTGTAGATTTAGTATTTTTATTTATTTAATCAATTTTAAAATAAGGCTGTAACGTAACAATATGGAAAAAGTGAAGGGGTCTGAATACTTTCCGAATGCACTGCAGTTTATCAATCTAGAACAGGATAATCTATTTTGGATGCAATTTGAATGGAGTTGATGGCGAGAGAGAGAGAGAGACTGTGAGTGAGTGCTATCGCATTCACTGATTTTAAAGCAACGATGTTCGAGTGATGGGCTGTTGTGAAACTCAGCAGCTGCAAAAACAAGGTTACCCCCGAAATCCAGATGGAGATCATTAAATTAGACACACTTTCAGTCGTTATATTAATGGCTATGCTGCAGCAAATGTAGGCCTACCTGTCACAAGAAAGTAAGTGACTATGATGAGATGGGTCTACATGCATTGTGAACTGCGCTCCACTGAGATGGTCTGTCCCCACCCTGAGCGTCGATTCATCATGTAGAGGCTGTAGAGAAGCCAGATTTAGACATTGCATATAATTTAACAGTTCCATTTCACGCCATGCTGTTCATATAAATAATTTATTATAATTTACTGGTTTCTCGCAGTTACTTATCCAGGAAAAGGGAGTAGTTTTGGGCCGGTAAATCTCGGTAACCAGGTTCCCACCATTCAGCCCTAGTGTAGGCTAATCAATGTGTTGCCGTTATCTAGATTATCACATGGATTGTTTCTTTGTTGCAGCATTGTGCACATTTTTGTGGCATTTTATGATGCTCTAGTCTCTAGTGATATTTTGTCATAGTATTTGGGCGGCAGGTAGCTTAGTGGGTAAGAGCGTTGTGCCAGTAACCGAAAGGTCGCTGGTTCTAATCCCCGAGCCGACTAGGTGAAAAATCTGTCGATGTGCCCTTAAGCAAGGCACTTAACCCTAATTGCTGATGTAAGTCGCTCTGGATAAGAGCATCTGCTAAATGACTAAAATGTAAATGTAAATTTGTATTGTTGGTAGTTTGTGGTATACAGTGAAATGTGTTCTCTTCCTCTGTAGAATGAATTTATTTCCCCCTTTTATCTTATTTTCTTCTCCGCTCCTCTGTTCTTACATTCTGCTTGTTTGTCTTGACCAGGAATGCTTGAATATGATCCCGTCAAGAGGTTTTCCATACAGTACATCAGGCAACACAAGTAAGTGACTGAAGTAATCCATGTTGAAAATAGACCTTACAAGTCTTTACGTCGATTCCTTTCATCTTCTGATTCGATTTAACTGAAATGGACGCCACCCTTACCATGCCACAGTCCATACAGAAGGCTGTGCTCTCTTTGCCCTCAGCGATGCTGTGAAGTCTGTCACTGTTAATATCAGACTGTTCTAGTGTTCCACACTGAGAATTAGAATGAATGTGTTGGGATTCTCTGGTTCCACTGCTCCTCCGGCATCAGGGACAGACCGACTGAGACATGAGGCGGCAGAGGGAGGAACACTTTATGTTCATAATAATGACTAGAAGGGAGTGAATGTAATGATATCTAACACATGGAAACCATGTTTATGATGCGTTTGATAAAATTCCATCTATTTCGTTCCAGCTATTACTCTGTGCCCTACTATGAACCCTAAGGTGCTACCAGCTGCCTTCAATCTCAGACAATGAGATTTTGCCTTGAGGAGACTTCAGATTATATATGTGTGTGTGTTTTTTTTCTTCAGAAAATAGGAATTTTAGCACACCTTGTGGTGCAGTCTAGCTGCTTCGAAATGAAATGGTACACTGGAAACGGAAAAATCATATTTAGTTTTTTATTGGTATGCATTTAATGTATTTCAACCCTGTGACGTGTGCATATGGTAGACTTATCCTTTGTGACATGAAAAGCCTTCATTTCCATACCGCAACATGTCCCATCATAGGCTTAATCTTATTATTAGTTCCACATGCTGTCCATTTCTGAGGCTCTGTGATACTGATGTGGTGCTCCGATGACGTCAGTGGATTAGAGTGAGTAGAGATGGGGTGGAGGGGGAGGAAGAATAGAGAGGGGGGGAGAATAGAGAGAGGGGGAGAGGAAGAATAGAGAGAGGAAGAGTAGAGGGAGGAGGAGAGGAAGAATAGAGAGGGAGGAGGAAGAGTAGAGAGGGAGAGGAGAGAAGCTGCTCAGAGCATGCTGAAATCCATTTTCTCCCTTTGTGTGTTAGAGGAGAAGGATACTGCACTTGTAGAGGACTCTCTCTGGGTTTTAACCCTCTTGACTAAAAGAGCTCCAAGGACTGTGATGAGACTCCGTTTCCATGGTTACTAATGACAGAGGCATCCTCTTGCTACAAAGGAGTTCTTGACCCTCCTGCAATTTGTGGAGAGAATGAGAGCGAGAGAAAAGAGGGCGTGAGCGAAAGGGAAAGAAAGGAACTTGAGGGAGAGCGAGAGAGAGGAAGGAAAAGGGAACCTTAATCACCCCGTCAGCAGCCCTCCTACTGAAAGACCCTCCACAGCTGTCTCTGATGGTGCCTCATTTAAACTCTTCATAGCAGCACGGTGTCGTGAAGAAAAAAAAGCAGGGAAGCAGAAATTAACCACCCCATTCGTCACGCACTGAAATACACACTCCGTTTCCATATCTGGTTGGGTTGCATTAAAATGTAGCTAAGTGTCGGCTTATGAAAACTGACTTCAGTCATGATACAAAGCACTATGTGGGTCCGCCTATTGGCTCGGAATAAGGCTATCCAACTGGCTAAGTCAGATTTTGTGCCAAGACTAGTTTAGTAACTACTAATACAATATCCCCTACCTGCCCTTCTCCTCCCCCCCCTCAGCTGGGTACGTAAAAAACACCCGCCAACGGAGCCCCCGGTGCCCATCCCAGCCAGCGCGGAGAGCCGGGACGTGTGGCGCAGCATGACGGTGGTGCCCTACCTGGAGGACCTGCACGGCTACACTGAGGAGGAGGACCAGGAGTTCTATGACCAGGAGGATGACATCATCTACACTCAGGACTTCACCGTGCCAGGTAGTCACGGAGAGAAATACTGTATAAACACACACACACAGGACTTCACGATGGGGGGGGAGACATACCCCACATACACACATTAAAATATGAGTGAAGAACGAAAGAGAGAAACACACACACACACAGGGCTTCAGTGTGCCAGGTACAGTTGAAGTCAGAAGTTTACATACACTTAGGTTGGAGTTATTAAAACTCGTTTTTCAACCACTCCACACATTTCTTGTTAACACCCTATAGTTTTGGCAAGTCGGTTAGGACATCTACTTTGTGCATGACACAAGTACTTTTTCCAACAATTGTTTACAAACAGATTATTTCACTTATAATTCACTGTATCACAATTCCAGTGGGTCAGAAGTTTACATACACTAAGTTGACTGTGCCTTTAAACAGCTTGGAAAATTCCAGAAAATGATGTTATGGCTTTAGAAGCTTCTGATAGGCTAATTGACATAATTTGAGTCAATTGGAGGTGTACCTGTGGATGTATTTCAAGGCCTACCTTCAAACTCAGTGCCTCTTTGCTTGACATCATGGGAAAATCAAAAGAAATCAGCCAAGACCTCAGAAAAAAAATTGTAGACCTCTACAAGTCTGGTTCATCCTTGGGAGCAATTTACCACGTTCATCTGTACAAACAATAGTACGCAAGTATAAACACCATGGGACCACGCAGCCATCATACCGCTCAGGAAGGAGACGCGTTCTGTCTCCTAGAGATGAACGTACTTTGGTGCGAAAAGTGCAAATCAATCCCAGAACAACAGCAAAGGACCTTGTGAAGATGCTGGAGGAAACGGGTACAAAATATCTATATCCACAGTAAAACGAGTCCTATATCGACATAACCTGAAAGGCCGCTCAGCAAGGAAGAAGCCACTGCTCCAAAACCACTATTAAAAAGATAGACTACGGTTTGCAACTGCACATGGGGAGAAAGATCGTACTTTTTGGAGAAATGTCCTCTGGTCTGAGGATACAAAAATATAACTGTTTGGCCATAATGACCATCGTTATGTTTGGAGGAAAAAGGGGGGTGCTTGCAAGCCGAAGAACACCATCCCAACCGTGAAGCACGGGGGTGTCAGCATCATGCTGTGGGGGTGCTTTGCTGCAGGAGGGACTGGTGCACTTCACAAAATAGATGGCATCATGAGGATGGAAAAGTATGTGGATATATTCAGGAAGTTAAAGCTTGGTCGCGAATGGTCCTTCCAAATGGACAATGACCCCAAGCATACTTCCAAAGTTGTGGCAAAATGGCTTAAGGACAACAAAGTCAAGGTATTGGAGTGGCCATCACAAAGCCCTGACCTCAATCCTATAGAAAATTTGTGGGCAGAACTGAAAAAGCGTGTGCGAGCAAGGAGGCCTACAAACCTGACTCAGTTACACCAGCTCTGGTGGGCCAAAATTCACCCAACTTATTGTGGGAAGCTTGTGGAAGGCTACCCGAAACATTTGACCAAAGTTAAACAATTTAAAGACAATGCTACCGAATACTAATTGAGTGTATGTAAACTACTGACCCACTGGGAATGTAAAGCTGAAATAACTAATTCTCTCTACTATTATTCTGACATTTAATATTCTTAAAATAAAGTGGTGATCCTAACTGACCTAAGACAGGGAATTTTTACTAGGATTAAATGTCAGGAATCGTGAAAAACTGAGTTTAAATGTATTTGGCTAAGGTGTATGTAAACTTCTGACTTCAACTGTAGGTGTATGTTCTGTGTTCTAGGTCTACTGAATGCAGTCTGGTGGAGAGCACTAGAAAGACTGGGAGAGCTCTGAGTCAGAGAGTTCAGATGGAGGGAGGATAGATTACAGTCAGAGGGAAAGATCAGAAGTGTTTAGTGTGTTCCATTAAAAGGCTTGGGGAAAGAGTGTTGCAGTCTTCACAGGATTCAGTTGTCCTTCTAATACTGTATTCCACTTTTAGGTGATGTGACCAGTCTAGACTGTTAAGTGTTTTTTATAATTATATAGCTCCAGGAAAACAGATCAAATGGAAATGTAACATTTTCTCTCAGTTGTTGCACTGTATACATTTTTGTCGACAGTTGTTCCACTTCAAAATCAATAAATACTCATTTTGCTGAGTCAGTTGGTTATAATGGCTTACGAGGACCTAAACATTTGACATTTTAGTCATTTAGCAGACGCTCTTATCCAGAGCGACTTAGTAGTGAGTGCATACATTTTCACACTGGTCCCCCGTGGGAATCGAACCCACAACCCTGGCGTTGCAAGCGCCATGCTCTACCAACTGAGATACACGGGACTCTCATCCATGCAGAATTCTGAACTCGTTAGCTAGACTTCTCTTCTTTCATAAATGTGTTGCTTGGCAACAAGGGGACTGATAACATAACGGCAGTAGTCCTTGTCGCTTTTGAAGCATGATGACCTACAAAAAAAACATTTTCAATGGCGCCGCAGAGAGCTTGAATGGCAGTGGGTGAATGCATCTAATAATAGCTTACAGTGTGGGAGTATGAATGGTGATTCCAGCCACCACTCTCCCACACACACACACTCAGCAGTCAACAATAACTCATAACATTAGCTCAGAGCTTCAATCTCTGTCTCTCTGCTAAACACCCCTTAAATAAGGTGACATTTCAAACTGATTAGTTGGCACACAGCTTTGGCCTTTTTAATAATGTCACTTAATTTAGCATCTGTAAATATATTGGAGAAAAATAACTTAGTGTACTACTGTGCAGACACAACTCCAGTACCACTCTGATTGGTTGTCTCTTCTTACCATCTGCTCTCACTGGCCCAATCGCCTTTGATCTTTTGACCTGACTGGTCAGAAAGATCAATAGATGATATCTGATGAAGCAGTCAGTCACTCAATGGATTTTCTTGTGGGGTTTTCTTTTGACAATGTTTTTGTTCTTTTCTCTGAGTCCCCAGTCTTTATCTGCTTTGATATTTTAGTGTTTTATTCTAAAGGTCTCGTCTCTCTCAAAACATGTTTTTATAAATGAACTTTCTACATGATGAAAGCAGTAGATTATCTGAAGGTGGGGGTGTGATTGTTGCTGCAGATGTTCATAATATAGTGTTTGTCTCTCCGTCTCTGTATTTGTGTGTGACTGTGTTCTGTGTTGACCGGCCTATATTCCCTCTCTCTTTCTGTCTTCCAGGGCAGGTACCAGTGGAGGACTTGGATGAGGCCGAGGTGGATCTGAGCCGGGCCCAGGCCAAGCCTGTGTGTGTAAACGGGAGCAAGGCCAAGCCAGAGCGCAGTTCTTCCTCCTCATTCAATCCCTCCCGCAAAGGAGTCTCCACAGCCAGCAAGATACGCAAGTTCTCCACCTGCAAACAGCAATGACCCCACCTCAACAACCCACCTGGTGAGAAGGGTGTGTGTAAGTTTGTGTGTCGCAAGGTTATTGTAATGAATGAAAAAAAATCATGAAAAAACTACTGGAACTATTATATTTAAGTTCAATGTAAGTTTCTTTCCCCCCTGAACTTCTGGGAAACTTGGAATGGGGTTTTCAAGCTTTTTCTTTTCTTCTGAATCTGGCGGGTAAATGCTGCCAGGTGATAGCGATGTTTCAAATAGGCCTAGCTTGTGCGTCACTCACTAGCTATCACGTGCTAACGGGGAAGTAATCAGCTATCCTAGCCAAAGGGTGAGTGTGGAGTGTGAACAACGGCGACAGCAAACCCTACACCACCAGTGGTCTGTCGACCATATTTCTATCACCAGTCTAGGCGCTGATCCTTTTAAATTCAAGTCACATTAAGATTGACTTTATAATTTAAAATAGGTCTGTCAAAGTTACCACGTTAACACATGACATGTTTATCAGCTTTTTTTCTTCACTGCATGGAACCTTTTTAAGCGCATGTTTCCACACGGACACTTTTAAGTGCAGAACACAACACGGAACAAAGCTTCAGCACAGATGGAACAATGAGACAGATATTTCACCGTATGTATAAATGTCAAGCATCCAGTTTGCGTTTCCACTCACTACCAAATATGGTGATGAAAGGAAGCCCAGTGGCTGGCAGTGGGAGAAGATTGCGCGAGATGAATTTTGGCCGACATTCTGCAAAATTTGTCATCGATGAAACATTTTATCTCAATACAGATTTCTGTTTCCAAAACTAGAATCTGTTACGAACAGAGTGGTCTAAGTTTTGTAGACTTTACCCTTTACCAAAGTAAAAATGGCATTCTTTAGGAGTGCAAGGGAGAATTGAGTTATTGCACACGTGCACTAAAGAGTAGGCGTTCCCTAACATAAATATGCAAATACATGCTAGAACGCACCAATAGGATCTCGGTAGCGCTTGCTTGTTCTGCCCACTATGATTCATTTTCTCCCATTGGAAACGACAGGCTGTGATCTACACTATATATACAAAAGTATGTGGACACCCCTTCAAATTACTGGATTCGTCTGTCCTCGGTTGCAACACTCACTACCGAGTTCCAAACTGCCTCTGAAAGATACGTCAGCAAGAACTGTTTGTCGGGAGCTTCATGAAATGGGTTTCCATGGCCGAGCAGTCGCACATAAGCCTAAGATCACCATCCGCAATGCCAAGCGTCGGCTGGAGTGGTGTAAAGCTGTGCTTCCAACTTTGTGGCAACAGTTTGGGGAAGGCCCTTTACTGTTTCAGCATGATAATGCCCCCGTGCACAAAGCGAGGTCCATACAGAAATGGTTTGTTGAGATCGGTGTGGAAGAACTTGACTGGACTGCACAGAGCCCTGACCTCAACCCCATCAAACACCTTTGGGATGAATTGGAACGCCGATTGCGAGCCAGGCCTAATTGGCCAACATCAGTGCGCGACCTCACGAATGCTCTTGTGGCTGAGTGGAAGCAAGTTCCCACAGCAATGTTCCAACATCTAGTGGAAAGTCTTCCCAGAATCTTCCCATATTAATGCCTATGATTTTGGAAGGAGATGTTTTGGCGAGCAGGTGTCCACATATTTTTGGTCATGTAGTGTATCTTGGGCTAGTAATACAAATCTTTGGTTTCAGTCAATGCTTGCCCCTTTACAGCGCTGAAGACCGTGTGCCTCTAGCCCAAATCATGTCAAAGTTATGCCCAATATTACCGGGGCGACGTTTCTTTCTGCCGCGGATTCGTGCGCATGTCACGGGCCGTTTTAAACTACTCACAAGACGTTATTTTTCGGTTTGATAAAAGTACATTGTTTAGCTAGCCACCTGAAAACATGACCACTGACTAGGCTTTGCACAAATTTGGATGGCACAGGAAGAACTGAAAGGGAAATGGGCTACTCAGAGATCCTTTAAAGGTAGGCTGCATATGCAAGAGTGGGGTGTGTATGATTGTGTGTGAGAGCGGGAGTAAGTGGGCGAGTTCGTTTTGCATGGCCCGGTGCCCCGGGTGGGTGGAGATTTCTCTTAAGGACCAATTGAATGGCCTAAAATGTGCAAACTCCGCCCACCCAGTGCACCATTCCATGCAAAATGAACTCGCCCAGTTAGAGGGTGTGGGTGGGAGAGTGTGTAGGCCTGTGTGTGTGTGTGTGTAAGGTTATCTGAACAGTACATATGATTACAGTATTTTCATAACATTTGTTGTCACAAGTTTTTAAAAGCTCTTTGTTCTTTTGTATCCGTAGAGCCATTATTATATAGTCACACTCATTTAGAATGCCTGAAGCTTTAACAGTACTTAAAAGTGTGTAAAAATGTAAATGTGTGTGTGTGTGTGTGTGTGTGTGTGTGTGTGTGTGTGTGTGTGTGTGTGTAACTTCAAGAACATTGATAAGATGGAGTAGGCCTACTTAAACACTGGGAGCATCAACGGCTGTGTGTTAGTAACTTTTGTGTTTATGGTGAAAATGCGATTAAAACATTCTGATGTAGTTTCCGTCCCGTACAATCAAAGCATAGTATGCCTAACTCAATGCACTGCTTTTTAAATGGAAAAAAACGTTATTTAGGGCTAAATATGAACAAATTCAAAAATTGCGATTAACTAATGCCATTAAGTTGATTTAATCATTTGACAGCCCTAATTTAAACAACCTATGACCTGACCCATCACCTTATGTATTACTGCCCACCAGTGGCAAGAGGTGATATCCCAAAAAATAACTATACAACACATAAATGGCTGCTAGCCTCCCATGCATAGGCTACTTTCTGTCCATAACACGATAAATAAACAAAATAACAGAAAAAATGAAATAGAGATGTTTTTCTATAACTAAATAAAAACTAGTAAATCAGGTCTGAAAGCTAACTGAAACTAAACTGAGTTTTTAAAAAAAACCTATCAACTATAATAACCGTGTGTGTGTGTGTGTGTGTGTGTGTGTGTGCGCGCTCGCAAACCTGTGTGGATGTGATATTTTAAGCACTCTTGCAAAAAGCATTTAGGGGGAGGAGTGGAGGAAACCGGAGGAGAGAAACTGAGATTCAAGTCTTCTCTGAGTCATCTCTACCACACCACTGCTCCCTAGGCATCCTCCTAGAGACTGAGGTTCACACACACACACACACACTGCACAACTGCATTAGGAGAACACACACACACACACACAGTTCTAACAAACTCTCTCTTTCACAGACGCACACATGGTCTTTCCACTAGCGATCATTCAACTCTCGCACACACACACACTGCAGAGCTACTTGGTCGGATATGCAGCAGTCTCTGTATTAATGTGTTAAAGGGATGACTCACGCTTGTCTAGATCGAGTGGGCTGCAGGCAGGATATTGTCTCCCTGTCTATCGCTCCCTGTCTATCGCTCGCTCCCTCACTCCGCCCTCGCTCGCTCCCTCGCTCGCTCGCTCCCTCACTCCCGCCTCTCTATCGTTCCCTCACTCCCTCTCTTTCGCTCCCTCTCTCCTTGTGTGCTGTATTTGACCCTCCTTCATTCAACTGTTTTATCTGTGTGTTGTTGGAGGCAGAGGGACGCAATATGTGTGTGTGCCTGTGTGTGCGTGTGTGACAAATAAGCCTTTGATGCTCAAATAAGGCAAAGGGTGCAAGCCCTTTAAATAGACTTTTCAAGTCTGGACGTCATAAATAATCCTATTTGTCATGCAATAGTTGTACAATGAAATGAACTAAAATAAAGCTTGCCTCACTCTCCTCTCTCTCCTCCCAGGTTTATCTTTTCCCGTCCTTCTGTTTCTGGAGTCCTTGGCAATGGTGAGAGAAACCTGCTGATGTTGTGCCGCACGGTTCCTCCTGAACCATTTGGCTACGACCTCTTCTTCAAGGATGTCATGCACACAGTGGAGAGATGGAAAGAGAGAGTAGCAGAGAAAGAGACTGTACCCTCGGGTCTTGGTGTGAAGTGGTCCTTTGTGTTTCCGTTCCCTCTCTGCGGAAGACCCTCCATCCTCCCCTCTCAGGCTGTCCCAGAGGAGGCATGGCTGGCCGTGCAAGACCCACCTTCGTGAACTCTGACCCCATTGGTTTTAGTTCTTAGACAACCATTTATTTGACAGATCCAAAAGACGCACATTGTGATGTGTAAAAGGAATGAGGTTGATAAAGAATACCTATAAATGTGAACTATGAGGATAGTGATACTGATATAAAAATTGCATGCTGGATGGAACTTTGAGAAAGGGGAAACTGCTTGGTTAAGGACAGACAAAACGGACTGAAACCTTGACATCCACCGCTGATGTGTTGGGAGGGGCTTTATTGTTTTCATTTTGTTTCTTTTTTTTTCTCCAATAAATCTTTTTTAATTATTATTTATATAAAACACGTCCCAACCAAACCCTGTTTGTTGTCTGGCTCCCATTTTTATTTTATATTCTGAACATACACTGAGTGTATAAAACATTAAGAATGTCTGCTCTTTCTATAACAGACTGACCAGGTGAAAGCTATGATCCCTTATAAATGTCACTTGTTAAATCCACTTCAATCAGTGTAGATGAAGGGGAGGAGACAGGTTAAAGAAGGATTTTTAAGCCTTGAGACAATTGAGACATGGATTGTGTAAGTGTGACATTCAGAGGGTGAATGGGCAAGACAAGATTTCAGTGCCTTGGAACGCTGCTGGGTTTTTCACACTCAACAGTTTCCCATGTGTATCAAGAATGGTCCACCAACCAAAGGACATCCAGCCAACTTGACACAACTGCAGTGTTGGAAAAAGTACCCAATTTTCATACTTGAGTAAAAGTAAAGATACCTAAATAGAAAATGACTTAAGTGAAATTCACCCAGTAAAAGTCAAAGTATTTGGTTTAAAATATACTTCAGTATCAAAAGTAAATGTAATTGGTAAAATATACGTAAGTATCGAAAGTAAAAGTATAAATATTTTCTAATTCCTTATATTAATTCCTTATATATTGGGTGTCAAGGAAAACGTATGGAGTAAAAAGTACAATATCTTCTTAAGGAATGTAGTGAAGTAAAAGTAGTCAGAAATGTAAATAGTAAAGTACAGATACCCCAAAAAGCTACTTGAAGTATTTTTACTTCAAGTACTACTTAAGTACTTTGCACAACTGTGGGAAGCATTGGAGTCAACATGGGCCAGCATCCCTGTGGAATGCTTTCCACACCTTGTAGAGTCCATGCCCTGACGAATTGAGGCTATTCTGGGGGCAAAAGGGGGTGCAACTCAATATTAGGAAGGTGTTCCTAATGATTTGTACACTCAGTGTATGGTCATTAAACTGCAGGTGTTTATTTTTACGCATGAATACAGGTTTCAAAGCAACCTTCTACAGTTTATTTCACACCTACACTGACATTGGGGTGAACACTTGCCCCAGAGGGGGACGGAGGGTTGAGGGTGATTCTTAACTATGAAACTGAAATGGGATTCTTCAGACCTCAGGAAAACCGGAATAATATGGCGTCAGGCATCTGTATGTTAAAAGATGCACTGGTGGCCTTTTTTCTTTTTTGTGCTGATCACGTCACTGAAAATTCCTCCCCCATCACCATTCTCTCTCTCCCTCCCATATTTTAATTTCTCTCACTCGCTCTCTGGTCTGACTCACTCACCTACTCTCTTCTCTGCTGACCCGCCCCCTCTCTTTCTCCCTCTTTCCCCCGCTCTGTATCCCCTCCTTTCCCCTTCTCTCGATGCTCCGACTCATCTGCTATCTCCTCTACTCCCTCTTTTACTCCCCCTCTCTCCCTCCCTCCCTGTGCTCTGACTCACCTGCTCTATGATCTATTCTCAGTGCTGGGCTGATGGAGCTGCAGGGTTGCGTAAGGAGAAAGACAAACGCTGCCCACGTCAGCCAGGCACTGAGAGAATCTATACAGAGCCCAGACCAGGCAAAACTCGATGAGAAGCCTCACATGTACCTTTGATTAATGAAGAATTCCTGCTTTTCTGACCTTATTCTAATTATAGAAATACCAATACCATGTGTTAAGAATTATTTATATTTTTTCTTAACAATAATACATGGTATTGGTATTGATATAGCGCATTTCAAGGACCCAAAGTCGTTTTTCTTAGCCGTTGCAATTAACCCACCCCTATTTCCATGATTGTGTTGATGGTACTGTATCTCTTGACTGTTGTGTGATGTGGATGTCTGCCCGGCATCCTCTGTTGCTTACTAGTCATCTCTACAGTCATGGCTATTGTGTTCTATTGTTCAGTCTGTCCACCTGCAATATGTTCAGTCTGTCCACCTGCAATATGTTCAGTCTGTTCACCTTGAATCCACAGAATGACCGAAGTGAAGTGAACACAGCTCTTTTCTTCTGTCCTTATCTCTTTTATTTAATTGGAGGGAGGGGGAGGGGGGGGGGGGGGGGGGTGAATATGTACATTGGTTGGTCCCTCGAAGTCTAGGTATCAAGGCATTACAAAACATCAGGGATTTCGATACTGTACAGATCATTTTTCTCTACACTAAATTACCTACCAGATACATAGACAGGGACCTTTTACTCAAGGTACAACATAACTCGAACCCTGGTTCCAGTAGCAGTACCAATGGATTTGCAGTCTGTTTTTGAGAATGATAAAGTGAACAATGTAATATGTACAAGTACCCAGTGTTTCAAGGTCTAACTCAGGTTTGCAGAAAGTACAACATTGCTTAAACATGCAGAAACTATCCCTTCCAGTGTTTTCTTTCTCTCCCTTACAGTGGGGTTAGGGGTCCTTAAATATCCCTTCCAGTGGGGTTAGGGGTCCTTAACTATCCCTTCCAGTAGGGTTAGGGGTCATTAAATATCCCTTCCAGTGGGGTTAGGGGTCATTGGGTGCTGAGAAGTCACTCACTCAGCGTATGCTGGGTCAAACCAGTGTACTGGATGCATTTAACAACAATCAATTCCAAGCATTTAGATCAGTCAGTCAATGATCCTGAATGCAACTCCAATTTCACAGTCCTGTGGTAGCTACATCCTCCAGGTCTCCCCTCCCAGTCCCCTGCTCTCTGTCTGTCCTCTCTACACCAAGAGTGTGAAGGTTTCTCTGACAGACAGAGTATCATGTGTCAGTCAGGTTGGTGATAACTGTCTGCTGGATGAAGGAGACTTACCATCAGCCTGACTGACACTGTACGCTACGTTTACACGGGCAGACCAATTCTGATATTTTTGACCAATCACATCAGATCTTTTCACGAGCTCTTTTTCGGAGCTGATTTGATTGGTCAAAAGACCAATGAATGAAAAAAATCTCAGAATTGGGCTGCCTGTGTAAACGTAGCCTTAGAGTATTGTGTCAGTCAGGCTTATGGTAAGTTCCCTTTATCCAGCAGACGGCTGCCTGCGACACATCCCTGTTCCCTCAGCTCAGGCCTCCAGGGGGAAACATTCCTTTAGAACTGAAAAGGAGGTTTCAGGATTCTCCTTCTATAATCAATATTCAGACACCATGAGAGGATGGAATTGGAATGAGTTGTAGTTCTAATTACTGGTTTCTAGTGCTGATAGGTCTGGGACATTGGAGAGGGAGGACAAACGAGGAAGAGCATAGACAACCATTTGTTTTCTATACATGGTGGAACTTTACCCAAAATAGGCCCATTTTCTAGAGGACGTTTAATGATCAAAAAATGTTTACATTGAATATGATGCCATTGAAGATGTAAGACAGGACACCACATAAAATTAGCAAATTTGAATAAATAGTTAAATAATGATATAAATACAAAATAGAGATACAATATGAATATCAAACAAAACCTGATTCAAATCTTGTCATCATGTGTTACTCAACTAGCCTGGGTGCTAATATATTTTGAATGCATAAACAGAACAAACTACCAGACTAGAATCCAGTCATCTCTATGGACAAACAGACACCCATTACCCATACTCAATGATAATCATGATAAGAAGGACACTTGAGGACGAGACGTTTTGGAATGAGGAAAATGGATGACAAACATGCCATATTATCTTCCTTCCCATCAAAGTGCATTTGTTATTATGTAAAACTGTACAGTATTCACTTTCACATTGTTTACACACATATCATGCTGTAAATTACACTATTATGCCAGAAAATAGGATATGAACAGGGAAGTTGTTTAAATGCTAGCAACAATCTAGCTATGAATTGGATATCTAATCTCCTAGCAAGGATATCTATCTAATCTCTCGTAGAACTGTAGAATCTGTCACGAAGGGATGGGATGCGTGGGATGGTGAGCAGCAGTAGTTCTGGTGTTTGGGTTTTCATCACTGGTTATTTGGAGTATCAGGATTGGGGCGAAGGCAGTGCTTAAAGGAAAATTTTACCCAAAAACTATATTTTGGTATTTGTTTCATTAGTCCATTGTTGATATAGTCCCAAAATGTTTTGCATGTCAGCAATCAAGTTTTTAAGATATATAACTTTCAAAATACAGAAATACAGCCGGTATGATTCAAAATGCATCATACCGGCTGTATTTCTATATTTTGAAGGTGATATATCTTGAAAACTTGATTGCTGACATGCAAAACATTTTGGGACTATATCAGCAATGGACTAATGAAACAAATTGGGGGGGCTTTGGCTGAGAGTTTCCTTTTGCAAGGGTGGAGACTTCGCAAACCGGAACTCTCCCTTTCTAACATGTATAGACCCAGCACTTAATCGAGTAAGCTGAACAACTTACGCAAGATTTTAGTTCTGGGTTAACCGAGATTAATATCTATCTAAAGCAAGAATATACCGGTAACAATGGAAATCTAAGGTCGCATATCTTTCATAGTCTATTAGAAAAGATGCCACAGCACCTAGTTTCATGGTAACATAAGGCTGTAGGGAATCACACTGGAAGAGAATCGAGAGTGCGGCCAATAGCCATATTGTCATTTCATATGTGTATTGGGTATCAAGTCAAGAAACCTGTACCAGAGCCTATAAGTCTAAATGGTATCCTTGGGACGTCCCAACTCTGACGTCACCCAATTGAAGTTGAAATTTAAAACGGTTAAGGTTAGGTTAGGGTAGGGCTTAAGGTTAGGGTTAGGTTTGGGATGCCACAAGGACCCCGGATAGCACTAACCAGAGCCTATACCTGTACAGGAAGTGATGTCAGTCATGAGGAAGTGCTCAAAGCCAGAGAAAAGGGTGGGTCACTTATATGTGGGAAGGTCTTTCGTTTCTTTAATGCTATATAGTAGAAATTGAACAAAATCATCCATTGAATGAACTGAAGTGAGATGACATGAAGCTAACTGGAGGAGTGAAAAGTCAGCCGGCTACACAGGGCTGGAGGGCTCAGGGGAAGAGGAGAGGGAGATGGCTCCCACCACATACTCTGGTCCTCCCTGACCCTGCCCTGTCCTCCACAATCCAGTGTAGAGCCTGTCCTCCATGGTCACAGAAAGCTTATCAGACAGGCGAGGGGATGGAGCCTGGGGCTGAGGATGGGGATTTAAGCCTGAGGATTCAGGGTCCTCAATGTGGAGAATAGGGGGATCTATGAGGGAGTCTTTCAGGGACTTAGGGAGAGCCACAGGGGGGTTCTGTGTGGAGGCAGAGGAGTAACTCTCTGCTAGAGTCAAAGCTTGGCTACTGTTGTTGTTGTAATTGTCTACCCTCGGGTCCATCCCACTGGCCTCAGCCCTCAGTACGTCAGATGACCGACTAGCTGTGTCCTGATTGGCTACAGTCTCATTCCCTGTGCCCTTATTGGTTGACTCCTTAACGTCTGTGCTCTCATGCACCGCACCCTCACAGGCCGCACCCTCATTGGTTGCTCCCTCGCCAGCTGCCCCCTCACTGGCCTCCTCGTCGGCTGCGCTGGCTATACGAGACAGCGTGCTATGGTAGCGTGTATCTAGAGGGTATCCCGCACTGTCGCCCCTCCGTAAGGGTCTGAAACTCTGCCTCTCCAGAGAGGGCGAATAGCGCCCCCCAGCACCAGACCCTGGGTCGCTGTACTGCTTGTGGCGCTGCCACTGCTTGCGAAGGTGGATGCGCGAGCGGTGCCGGGAGCGCAGTGGCGACTCCTGCTGGTCGAAGCGGGGATCGTGACGCAGGAACTCGTTGAACAGTGCGTCCGTCTTCTCGTCAATGCTGTAGTCACGCCGACGTAGGCGTACGGGCCGTGGCGAGGGCATGGCTTGGGGTTGGGGTGACTGTAGCGGCGGTTGTTGCAATTGTAGCGATTTTAGCGGTGATACCGATTGTGGTGGTTCTTTGAGGATAAGCGTCTTTCCTCCATTAGGGGACCTTGGGGACCTCTTTACAGGTTTCTCTTCCCCCTCAGTATTCTTTCCCATCTCATCCTCCAGCTCCTCCTGGAACACCTTGGCCTCTAAGCTCTCACACACGGTGCCCTTCCTCCCAGAGCTGGTGAAGAACAGCCTTCTCTCCGACGCCGTCTTTCCCCGGGGGCCTCCATGGGCCCCGAACAGCCTCAGCTCCTCAGTGGCCCGCATCGGAGCCTCAATGGACGTGTACCCGCTGTCCATCTGTAGGAGCTTCCGGCTGCCCGCCTCCCCTCCTCCTCCCCCGGTTTCCCCGGTTCCCCCGGTTCCCCCTTCTCCTCCTCCTCCCTCACTATCTCTCCTCTGGACCCCCCTGTGCCCAATCTTTTTTCCAGTGTCCCTGTATTCCGCCTCCCCCTCTGTCTCCCTCTGTCCCCTGTCTCCCCCCTCCCTTCCCGTGTCCCCATACTCCCATTCTCCCTCCAGTTCGTCACCAAGGTCCTGGGAGAGGCAGGCGGTGAAGCTGGACCGGGCTGCGGCGCCTCCTAGCGAACACACGCTGTCGGCGTCGCTGCGTATGGACTCCCTGTCCGTACTGCTCTGATCCGAGGAGGCATACTGCTCCAGAGAGGCTCGCAGGCTCCAGATGTCTCTGTACAGAGAGGGCTGGGTCTCAGCGCTCTCCTGTCGACTGATACACACCCCAGACCCAGACCTTGATCGAGGCCCTGGATCTTCCCATATCCCTGGCCCTGCTCCAGCACCTAGCACCCCTTCTAACCCTGATCCTGAATCTGCCTTTATCCTTACCCCTGATGTCCCTAGCCCTGCCTCAACTTCTAATTCTGCCCCTGGTGTTTCCCCCACCTCTATCGTTGACTCAAGCCTGACTGCTGTCTCGGGCTCTCTTTCTGTTCCCAGAATAGCCCCTACCCCTGTCTTGGCTCTTACCCCCACCCCTGCTTCTGTCTTTGGAGTGTCCCCCAACCCATCCGCAGTCCTTGCCCTTATCCTTGCCTCAGCTCCTAGTTCTGCCTGGAAACAATCTCCTCCCTCCTGAGCTTGGTCTGCACACAGACATTCCATTATCTCTGATCCCATACCCACCCTTTGTTCTGTCCCTAAAATATCTGCCTCTTCCTCTTCATCTGACTCTTCTCCTGGCCCAACCCATACATTGACCTCCTCTCCTGCTTCTGTTCTTGTCACTGCCCCAGCTTCTTCTCTCCATAAGCCTGTCCCTGTTCCTGTCGCTTCCTCCCCAGGCTCCTGCTCTCTCTCTTGGGTCTCAGGGGGCTCTGATGGTGGGTGAGTCACGTTTCTCTCTGTCCTGCTGCTGCTGCTGCTGGCAGCCTCCACCACCGCCTCCACCTCTAACCTGCAGAGAGACAGAGAGAGAGCGAGAGAGACAAAGAGAGAGAGACAAAGAGAGAGAGACAAAGAGAGACAGACAGACAGACAGACAGACAGACAGACAGACAGACAGACAGACAGACAGACAGACAGACAAAGAGAGAGAGACAGAGAGACAGAAACAGAGAGTAAGAGACACAGACAGAAACAGAGAGACAGAGACAGACGTCAGGTAGATTCACCATCAAACAACACCTACATGTTTTATTTATCACCTGCCTGTCTATCATCTGTCTTCACACACTGCACTTATCAAAAGTAGTTAAGTTACGGAATTGATCACATGATGTATTCAGATTCAATAGGTACCCCTATAACCGATATAAATATAATACTGTTTGTTAGAAGTTAGTGTGTGAATGGTACCTGCTGAGACAGGGTGAGGGTGGGCAGGTGGGGGGCGATAGCGACCCTGCAGAGAGACGCTGGAGGCCGTTGCTCTGGCTGTGTGTGTGTGGGAGGGGCTGGATGATGTCACAGCGGAAAGGGAGAGGGGGTGAATCCTCTTCAGTTGGGTCTGCGTTATCACTGGCTGCTCTCTGTCTCTGGAACGGACGCCTCTTAGGAGAGCCTGGGGGAAACACACACACACAAACACACACACAGTGTTATTACTCTCTTCTATATTTTCAGCCATAAGAAGTTCAGGGCTCGATTCAATCAGTAGCGCAGAAGATCAGCGTTATGGTGCCACTGACATTTAAAGGCAATGTTTCCGCATTTGCGGAGACTGCATTCACGGTAAACGCTGCATATGTCGGCTCAATTGGAAATGACCTTTAAATTTCATAATAGTCCAAAAGGTTTAACTTAATAAAACCAGACACATGCCTCTAGCCTCGCTACATGACCTCTCACCTTTGGCATCTAGACTGGCGGCACGATGGCTGCTGTCAAACTTCCACTTCCTGAAGTAAGGCCCCGCCCCCTCCAAGCTGGCATGCCGTCTCAGTTTGCAGAAGAACTGCAGAACGGAACCCTGGTGTCCGGGGGCCGGAGACTTTCCCCTCACTCCTCTCATCTCTCCCTCTCCTTCCATCCTGACCCACGCCCCGTCCCCTACGGCATCCGTCTGTCAAAGCAGATAGAGTATAAGTAGAGATCGGTAGATAATGTAGATGTAGAGATAATGTACATATAGAGAAGTTCACAGAAAGGATTTTAAGGACAGTCAAGTGGGGGCTCGAACCCCCTTCACCAAGGGGCATGCGTGGTGCGAAATCGAGAGCGTTACCACTTCATCAGAGTCTGTAGTAGCGTGTGTATAAAGTAATGTATAACACTCACGGTTCTGGAGCGGGGGGTCGGGGGGCACGGGATTGGTGGACTGTGGCTGAGTCTGGAGTCCAGCAGGATGTTGTGGTGGATGTCTCCAGGGAGGGTATTACTAGAGCTTTGGCCCAACCAGGCAGGCGCAGACCTCTCAGAAGACTAGACAAAACACCAGCTCAAGTTAGGATGATCAGGGAAAAGCAATGCCAAGGTTGTGTTGTATGTTGAGTACAGAGGAGGCTGGTGGGAGGACCTATAGGAGGACAGGCTCATTGTAATGGTTGGAATGGAATAAATGGAACAGGTATCAAACACATCAAACATATTGACTCCGTTCCATCGATTCCCTTCCAGCCATTACAATGAGTCTTCCTATAGATCCTCCCACCATCCTACCAACAACCTCTGGTTGAGTAGTTGAGTCAGCTAGATATTTATCTACCTTCCCAGACACCTGAAGTTTTAATGCACCTAACCAATAAATGCTATGTTTTTTTTACCATGGAAAAGTAATCATGCTAAATGTAAAATGTGAAGGTTTACCTGGTAGAGGGGATAGAGGGGGAGTTTGGGAGCGGGCGGTTCGTTGACGTTGAGGCTGCTGCTCTCTGTAGACTCACACTCCATGATGGTGAGGATTTTCAGGGTGGAGGGGGGGGGGGGCCAGGGGGAGGTGGGTCAGACGGGCCTTCTTCAGGTGATGGAAGTCTCCTTCTGTGAGGGTGTACCTGAGTAGGAGGAGAGGAAGGAAATGGTATCTAATTTTAATTCAGTCGTGAGTTTCCATTGAGATAAAGAGATTGTTTTTCAAGGAGACCTTGCTTCAAAGGACTTAATATTGTATGGAGACGACGCTCCACTTCCACCACCAATCTGTGCTTGTGTTGCAACATCAACCTGAGTGATACACGGCAGCCATTTTGTGAATAACATTGCCCTGTACCTGCGTCCTTTGTCCTGAGTCTTGCTCTCCTTTTCGTAAAGAGCTGACTCATTGAAGGAGACCCGGCGGCCAGTAGCGCAAGTGGACATGAACCTGTCTGTCTCTTCATCATGGCAGCAAGACGCCGAGAGTGCATCTGACTCATCTAGCCTGATAGTGATGTCTGGAGAGAGGGGAGGGGAGAGGAGAGGAGAGGAGAGGAGAGGAGAGGAGAGGAGAGGAGAGGAGAGGAGAGGAGAGGAGAGGAGAGGAGAGGAGAGGAGAGGAGAGGAGAGGAGAGGAGAGGAGAGGAGAGGAGAGGAGAGGAGAGGAAAAAATTAAAGGAGGAAGTGTCAGTTTCTATGGTTTTAATACAAATATTCTGCGACTAAACTGAAGTAGAATGTACATCCTCCTTACCTTGTGTGGGCTGTGAATCCTCCTTACCTTGTGTGGGCTGTGAATCCTCCACATAGGTGGTATTAGTCTTCTCTGGATCATCACTGGCCCTGCACACAGAGGACAGAAAGAGAGGGAGAAGAGAGAGGGAGGAGAGAGGAGAGAGGGAGGAGAGAGGGAGAAGAGAGGGATGAGAGAGGGAGAAAGAGAGTGTTATTTGTACTGTCTCTTTGCCCTTTGTGGTCAAAAATAGAACTGTCTCCAGGCATCAAAGATTTAATGCTCATTTTTATTTCACTGAGCAGTAATCCATTTCTATCATAATCACTTCAACACTGTGTCTCCTAATCCCTCTATGCAGACGTGCCACAGTTCTGTTTATACATAATACGCTTAATCAGAGTTAGAACCAGGGACATGATCTATAATACTGTAGGTGTGGTTACTGTAGAGGTGTTACCTGGAGTAGCGGCGGCCGCCCACACAGCAGCGGTGACAGAACAGCAGCAGCACGGACAAAAGGATCAGGGAGCCTCCAGCGAGCACACACAGCAGGACCAGCAGGAGCACATAGTTCTCCACCCGCCCTGCCGACACTGGCACCTCCTGTATAGAGGGAGGGACCATAAGGGTCAGAGGCCTCCCACCCTGCCGACACTGGCACCTCCTGTATAGAGGGAGGGACCATAAGGGTCAGAGGCCTCCCACCCTGCCGACACTGGCACCTCCTGTATAGAGGGAGGGACCATAAGGGTCAGAGGCCTCCCACCCTGCCGACAGTGGCACCTCCTGTATAGAGGGAGGGACCATAAGGGTCAGAGGCCTCCCACCCTGCCGACACTGGCACCTCCTGTATAGAGGGAGGGACCATAAGGGTCAGAGGCCTCCCACCCTGCCGACAGTGGCACCTCCTATACAGAGGGAGGGACCATAAGGGTCAGAGGCCTCCCACCCTGCCGACAGTGGCACCTCCTGTATAGAGGGAGGGACCATAAGGGTCAGAGGCCTCCCACCCTGCCGACAGTGGCACCTCCTGTATAGAGGGAGGGACCATAAGGGTCAGAGGCCTCCCACCCTGCCGACAGTGGCACCTCCTGTATAGAGGGAGGGACCATAAGGGTCAGAGGCCTCCCACCCTGCCGACACTGGCACCTCCTGTATAGAGGGAGGGACCATAAGGGTCAGAGGCCTCCCACCCTGCCGACAGTGGCACCTCCTGTATAGAGGGAGGGACCATAAGGGTCAGAGGCCTCCCACCCTGCCGACACTGGCACCTCCTGTATAGAGGGAGGGACCATAAGGGTCAGAGGCCTCCCACCCTGCCGACAGTGGCACCTCCTGTATAGAGGGAGGGACCATAAGGGTCAGAGGCCTCCCACCCTGCCGACAGTGGCACCTCCTGTATAGAGGGAGGGACCATAAGGGTCAGAGGCCTCCCACCCTGCCGACAGTGGCACCTCCTGTATAGAGGGAGGGACCATAAGGGTCAGAGGCCTCCCACCCTGCCGACAGTGGCACCTCCTATACAGAGGGTCAGAGACCTAGTACCATTTCCGCTCTTAGTACCTTACCCTAGACACTACCCCTTTGAACCAACGGGAGTCAGTAGAAGTTTCCCAAATAGATATTTGGTTAAGGGAACTTCTATCTGGAGAAACTGGGTAAGACTCTTCAGGTTTTATTTAGCCTAGCAGCTTACCCTGGTGGTTAACACTTTCAGTGTTCACAGATCTGAAATGACTGGATAGGTGACAGAAATATGATAGAAAATCTATTGTATTACATACTTTGTATCACATGAAGGGGTTTTGCCTTGCAATCTATTGTTTGTATTATTGTTGTGCGTCATAATGTATTGTATTGTAAATCAATGATTGAATAGATAGCCTGCAGTACATTATTCTTCAGAAATGCATTATGTTTTCACACCATGTTTGTGTGAATGCGGTTATCTATTGTGCCAAGCTAACATCTTAGCTACATGAGTAGTGCTGCTGGGAATAAATATTATTTTCCTTTTGAAGTCTATATTTTTGTCCCATTACAGTGTCAGCTCAGCAGTGTAATATTTAATAAGGAGTCGCGTTGATTCAGAGAGATGTTGTAAGCCACACACGTACACACACAGTAATATTCTCTGTGCTTTGTGATTAACATGCTCTGTCTTCCCTAAGTGATCCTCTGGATTATAATCGAAACGTCAATGAGACCCTTAATTCAATTTCCCTGCTCATCTGACTGAGGAGAAAATTAGGCCTCAGCAGGCTAAAAATGGAGATGGGAGGAGAAAAGGAGGGAAGATGGGGGAGGAGAGGAAGAAAGAGGGGGAGAGGAGAGAGGGGAGAGAGAGAGAGGGGAGAGGAGGAGAGAGGAGGAGAGAGAGGGAGAGAGGAGGAGAGAGGAGGAGAGCGGAGGAGAGAGGAGGAGAGGGGGAGAGTGGAGGAGAGAGGGGAGATGAGGAGGAGAGTGGAGGAGAGAGGAGAAGAGCGGAGGAGAGAGGAGGAGAGGGGGAGAGGAGGAGAGAGGGGTAGAGGAGAGAGGAGGAGAGAGGGAGAGAGGAGAAGAGAGGAGGAGAGAGGGGGAGAGGAGGAGAGCGGTAGAGAGGAGGAGAGAGGGTGAGAGGAGGAGAGGAGAGAGAGGAGGAGAGAGGAGGGGCGACAGAGTGGCATCATCAGGAGGATGCAGTCAGACTGTCGTAAGCAGTGAGAACCTGCTTATGTTATATTATCGACTGATTCTGATAATGGAGGGCCATTAAAAGCCAATGACGAAGCAGTTCTATATTGAATATCAGTTAACACACCCCTCTACTCTAATTACGCTATGATTAAGACAGAGAGGACAGTAATGGATTGGCTGTGATATCAAATGTGCTATGAGTCATGCTAAGATTTGGTAATTGGGTGAAAGACAGAACACTCCATACTATGGATGGGGAAGCCCTCTAGATCACAAGAGTCTACTTGCTTCATAACCTTGACTGAGGGAACAACAAGGTCAACCTAGAAATTCCACACAGTATTACTGGGGGGAGAGAGAGAGAGAGAGAGAGAAAGAGAGAAAGATATGGAGAGAGATGGAGAGAGTGAGACAGAAGAGTGAGAGACAGCCAGAGAAGAAATCATGTAGAGATAGGGGAATGATCTGAGTAAAATCCACCCTCTAGTCTGCAACTCTGCATTTCCCTCAGAGGAGTTTGGAACCCTCGGAATGAGCTTCTGGGGAAAGTTCCAGAACGCCACCCATCAATCAAACATTGTCAACCTGTTAACTCCAATCACACACACAATCCAGCAACTGAGCGGTTATTCTACGAGGAATGACTGGGAGGGAGAGGGAGCCATGGTTTCCAATTGAATGCCCTTCTGAGAATCAAAACAGCTGGTGTCAGGTTAGCTGCTAGCATAACCAGGCCTCGGATCAAAGCATCGCTAGATTCGCTAATGAAACAAAAAGAATAGCGGGCCTATTGTTTTACATTTAAATAAATGATCATCAGCGTATTCATTTTTCCTCTGTCTTCATCCTCTTCCTGTCACGTACTGGGCTACAGATGTGTATTAATGAATAACCTATCACACAGGGTTCATCCATTAGTATATAGGTTCAGCAGGAAGGGGACTCATGTAAAGAGTGTGTGTAGGTCTACACAGTGAGGTAGGGATGAGTACAGTGTGTTACGGCGTAGTAACAGGGAAAGGAGGATACCTAGTCAGTTGCACAACTGAATGCGTCTTCTGCATTTAACCCAACCCCTCTGAATAAGAGAGGTGCGGGGGGCTACCTTAATCAACATCATTGGCGCTCGGGGAGCAGTTGTTGGGGGTTAGCTGCCTTGCTCAGGGGCAGCACGACAGATTTCTACCTTGTCGGCTCAGGGATTTGATCCAGCAACCTTTGGTTATTGGCCCAACGCTCCTACCCGCCAGGCTAGGTCCTTCAGGGAAAGCCTCACAGGCAGCACGATTACCTGCTGGGTCTCAGTTATCATTACAGGAAACATCATACACACACACACACACACACACACACACACACACACACACACATACACTGTGACCCACACACACACATTCTCCACTGCCAGAGTGACTGTAGTGTAATGCAATCTGCTGTTTTTACAAACTCAGCCCAACAGTAAGAACAACACAATCAATCGTGGGAGCAGCTAAATCCCTGGCCGGCTACCTGCAGACCATATTACTAACCCATTGAAACCCACTGGACTAATCTAACATGACAGTCTGCAGCCAGTCACTGAACCCAATGTCTGCTTCTGGGATACGGTCACAAAGAGGCAGCCCAAAAGACTGGCTCAATGGAGAGAATAAACAGGATGGAGAGAGAGGATGGAGGGAGGAGACCGAATGGAGATTGTGGGGAGAGAAAGAGAGAGGGAGAAGTGTGAGAAAAGAGGGAGGAGAGAGGATGAAGAAAGCATAGAGAGAGATGGATGAAGAGAAGGCGGAGAGATTATAGAAAGAGTAGGAGAGCACAAGATGGATGGAGAGAGGATAGGAGGTAGAGAGCTGCAGTACTTACGGTGGAGTTCTCCGTCAGGCTTGTCAGTACAGGCGAGTCATTGCTCATGGTCCAGGTCAAAGAGAGTGAACCCTGAGGACGACAGAGAGGAGAGGAGAGGAGAGGAGAGGAGAGGAGAGGAGAGGAGAGGAGAGGAGAGGAGAGGAGAGGAGAGGAGAGGAGAGGAGAGGAGAGGAGAGGAGAGGAGAGGAGAGGAGAGGAGAGGAGAGGAGAGGAGAGGAGAGGAGAGGAGAGGAGAGGAGAGGAGAGGAGAGATACTCATAAACTATCCAGTCTAGTTCTTTATTGCACGCAGGCTGCCCTGCTACTGTCTGGAGCCTGATTTAACATGTGCTCCACTTATCTAAAGCAACTTACAGTAAATGCATTTATCTTAACATAGCTAGGTGAGAAACCCACATAGTCGTAGTAAATACATTTTTCCTCTACGGAAGTTATGAGCAAAGTCAGTGCTAATAGGAATAGACAGTGCTGAGACGTCTTATTTAAGATACTCTTTGAAGAGGCAGGGTTTCAGTTGTATTCAGAAAATGGGCAGGGACTCTGCTGTCCTAGCTTCAGGGGGAAGCTCATTCCACCATTGGAGTGCCAGGACAGATAAAAGCTTTGACTGGGCTCCGTAGGGGTGGGACGGCCAAGAGACCAGAGGTGGCAGAACGGAGTGCTCGGGTTGGGGTGTAGGGTTTGAGCATAGCCTGAAGGTAGGGAGGGGCAGTTCCCCTTGCTGCTCAGTAGGCAAGCACCATGGTACTACTACAACAAAGTACTACTGTGTTCTGCTTAGAATCTTGTGTATTACATGTAAACGGAATTCATTAGCAGTGAGACAGCACTGAACTCATAAACAGTATAAATTGTGTACCAGGTGTGCGTGCGTTTGTGCGTGTGGGTGCGTGCGATGGCTAATCCCACGCCTCACTTGTTCTTCTGATTGTATTACAATACAATAATCTGCTCTATACACTACTCTCATCAGAGATTACCACATAATCTCTTTGGCATGAATGTGTGTATGCAAAACTTTGATTCATGCTCAGGAAAACTTTGTCACATCCCCACACCATATGGGCACCTTATTTTATGCAAAATCTCATACAACCTGCTCAGTCCTTTTGTAGAGCGAGGAGCTTTCTAAAACCACCAGCCCAGTTAAAATGTTTCAAACAGCAAAGTCGTAAACCCTATTACTTGTTAATGGACGGGACATACCAGCTCATGTTACTCTCAGACTCACACACACACCAGCTCACATTCCTCATGCATAGAACCCTCATTAGCCACATATGTACTGAGTCCCTGTGATGATTTACACACGTTGCCTCGGTCGCCGCAGGTCATGCTGTACTCATGGACAGAACTGAGGCAGCTGTGTGTGTGTGTGTGCGTGTGTGCGTATCAGTGGAGGCTGCTGAGGGGAGAACGTCAAACACCTATTTTTCAATGGCAATTGATGAGACAATAACTGACTAAATCAGGGCTATTCAACTGGTGGCCCGCGGGCCAAAACCAGCCCGTTTATTAACTTAGACTGGCCCTTTGATCAATTCTGAACATGAATAAAAGAACTGCAAAAATTCCCTGCCAAAATCCGACATTCAGTGCCAAAATGACAAGCACTATGATGGTTGTCTATTGTGTGGTTTCTAGTTGTTTTTAGTGGTTTCTTGCGCCCATGTGGCATGTTGATTATTTTGGCTCTAGCGTTTGAACAGTTTAAGCTACAAAATATTATGACCCCATTCCTGAATGCTCACGAGGACTCGTTAGAAGGGAAGGTGACAAAAAAAATCACCTAATGACTAAGGGAAATTAATTCAATGCATACTTCCTTCAGACTGGAATTTGGCATTGCCTGATTTGACATACAGTGAGCTCCAAAAGTATTGGGACAGTGACTCTTTTGTTATTGTTTTGCTCTGTAGTCCAGCACTTTGAATTTGAAATTATACAATGACTATGAGGTTAAATAGCAGACTGTCAGCTTTAATTTGAGGTTATTGTCATCTATATTGGGTGAGCCGTTCAGAAATACAGCTCTTTTTGTACATAGTCCCACCATTTTAGGGGACCAAAATATCATACCCCCCAAAAATGATAACCTCCCCTGTTATTATAATGGTGAGAGGTTAGCATGTCTTGGGGGTATGATAGTTTTCAGATGATTTTAAAATGACCTAATTACTCTTAAGAAGCTTTTAATAGTTGTTTAAATTAAAATAAATAATGGTGAGCAAGCACCTTTTTCTTTTCAATGATGATTAAAATAATTGGTTGCACCTTGACTCAGGTTGGTTGACCTCCTCCACTTCTTTCCTAATTACTTTTAGCAACCTTTCATTTTAAGAAAAGTGCTTTATTGATGTGTGTTCATTGCTTTTTTATACAGTTCTTCTTTTATACAGTTTTCCACATAATCACATGTGGAAAATGTCCGGCCCCTCTGCAATTAACCTTTTTTACATCTGGCCCCAGTAAGAATATAGTTGAATAGCCCTGGACTAAATAGACCCTGAAAAAAACTATAATTAAACAAAAATTATTTTTCATTTCAGTTGACGAAAACCAGACGAGACTAGATTATCTCTGTGACTAAGGGACAGATCGAAATGTACTGAGAGGGAGGGGCTGGTCCAACTCAAGGTGTCATTTAAAAAGAATGCACCCTCCTCCCCAAAGTTACAAATATTTTCACATGACCCTCCCCTTGTACTGTAAAATAAATGGAACACCCTCCCCCCTAATAGAATTAACTCAAAATAATGTTTACGACCACAAATAACAATAACTGTAGCGACCCTGTGTTTACCTTGCACTAACATAAATAACATTAGCATGTCTACTTCTGCTACGCTTTACAGTAAAGCAATGGAAACAATCAAGCATTTCAGAAAAATGCTAAAAATAGCCCACGTTAACATATGTAGCTTAAGAAACAAGGTTCATGAAATCAATAATTTGCTAGTAACAGATGACATTCATATTCTGACAATCTCTGAAATTCACTTAGATAATACCTTTGATGATACAGTGGTAGCAATACATGGTTATAACATCTATAGAAAATACAGAAATGCCAAAGGTGGAGGTGTTGCCGTTTATATTCAGAACCACATTCCAGTAAAGCTTAGAGAGGATCTCATGTTAAATACTGTTGAAGTAATTTGACTACAGGTTCATCTGCCTCACCTATAGCCCATTCTGGTGGGAAGCTGCTACAGATCACAAAGTGCTAACAGGCAGTATCTGGATAACGTGTGAAATGCTTGCTCATGTATGTGATATCAACAGAGAGGTATATTTTCTGGGTGATTTAAATATTGACTGACTTTCATCAGGCTGCCCACTCAAGAGAAAGCTTCAAACTGTAACTAGTGCCTGCAACCTGGTTCAGGTTATCAGTCAACCTACCAGGGTAGCTACAATCAGCACAGGAATTAAATCATCAACATGTATTGATCACATCTTTACTAATGCTGCAGAAATGTGCTTTAAAGCAGTATCCAAATGCATCGGATGTAGTGATCACAATATAGTAGCCATATCTAAGAAAACCAAAGTTCCAAAGGCTGGGCCTAATATGGTGTATAAGAGGTCATACAATACGTTTTGTAGTGATTCCTATGTTGTTGATGTAAATAATATTTGTTGGTCTGTGGTTGGTAATAAAAAAATATATATATATTTCACCTTTATTTAACCAGGTAAGCCAGTTGAGAACAAGTTCTCATTTACAACTGCGACCTGGCCAAGATAAAGCAAAGCAGTGCGATAAAAACAACAACACAGAGTTACATATGGGGTAAAAAAAACATAAGGTCATAAAATACAACAGAAAATATATATACAGTGTGTGCAAATGTAGCAAGTTATGGAGGTAAGGCAATAAATAGGCTATAGTGCAAAATAATTACAATTAGTATTAACACTGGAATGCTAGATGTGCAAGAGATTATGTGCAAATAGAGATACTGGGGTGCAAAAGAGCAAAATAAATAACAATATAGGGATGAGGTAGTTGGGTGGGCTAATTTCAGATGGGCTGTGTACATGTGCAGTGATCGGTAAGGTGCTCTGACAACTGATGCTTAAAGTTAGTGAGGGAGATAAGAGTCTCCAGCTTCAGAGATTTTTGCAATTCGTTCCAGTCATTGGCAGCAGAGAACTGGAAGGAATGGCGGCCAAAGGAGGTGTTGGCTTTGGGAATGACCAGTGAGATATACCTGCTGGAGCGCAGACTACGGGTGGGTGCTGCTATGGTGACCAATGAGCTAAGATAAGGCGGGGATTTGCCTAGCAGTGATTTATAGATGGCCTGGAGCCAGTGGGTTTGACGACGAACATGTAGTGAGGACCAGCCAACAAGAGCGTACAGGTCACAGTGGTGGGTAGTGTATGGGGCTTTGGAGACAAAACGGATGGCACTGTGATAGACTACATCCAATTTGCTGAGTAGAGTGTTGGAGGCTGTTTTGTAAATGACATCGCCGAAGTCAAGGATCGGTAGGATAGCCAGTTTTACGAGGGCATGTTTGGCAGCATGAGTGAAGGAGGCTTTGTTGCGAAATAGGAAGCCGATTCTAGATTTAACTTTGGATTGGAGATTCTTAATGTGAGTCTGGAAGGAGAGTTTACAGTCTAACCAGACACCTAGGTATTTGTAGTTGTCCACATACTCTAGGTCAGACCCGTCGAGAGTGGTGATTCTAGTCGGGTGGGCGGGTGCCAGCAGCGTTCGATTGAAGAGCATGCATTTAGTTTTACTAGTGTTTAAGAGCAGTTGGAGGCTACTGAAGGAGTGTTGTATGGCATTGAAGCTCGTTTGGAGGTTTGTTAACACAGTGTCCAAAGAAGGGCCAGATGTATACAAAATGGTGTCGTCTGCGTAGAGGTGGATCTGAGAGTCACCAGCAGCAAGAGCGACATCATTGATATACACGGAGAAAAGAGTCGGCCCAAGAATTGAACCCTGTGGCACCCCCATAGAGACTGCCATAGGTCCAGACAACAGGCCCTCCGATTTCACATATTGAACTCTATCTGAGAAGTAGTTGGTGAACCAGGCGAGGCAGTCA